CATTGGCTTTCCACTTGAATAATAAGACAATTTGATAATATAAATGTGGCCTACAAAAATATTGGTCCATTTATCGTGACCTGCACTCCCTAAAATGTCAAAATAACGAGGTTATATAGGTCAAATACCAATATTTTTGTTGACAACTTTTTTTCTCATATTATCTTCCAATAGAAGTTGAAAACTAATGAGTATTCGTAAATATTTAGTACATCATTAAACTAATTAATTTAATGAGAAACGCTCCACTTCTGAGAATTGTCTTAGATAAAAAATTTTAGGTTACGATAACATGAGGATGTTCCCGAAGTTTTACACGGATTTTAATAATTTGATAAAAAATGGATGGCTGTTCCACGAGCTATTAGATATAAAAAATGGAAATGAAGAAACAATCATGAAAACATTTTGACGCCTCTACCACCATATATTTATTTTTAAATCACTTTCATATTAGCATCATCAATAATATTTATTTTATAATTATTAATTGTAATTACTCTTAAAAGTAACATTTCTTTATCTCAATTGTCACAAATAGATATAAATATTTATTTATTTTTGCATTTAATTTTTTTTTTTTAATATTGTACGAAATTAATTTCGTTTATATTCCTTTAAAAAAAATTATTTTACCTCTACGATTTTTAGTTCTAATAAGCTTTTAGCATTCTTTACCTTTTTCTCTGTCCATTACTAGAACAATTGAATTTCGGAGTGTCCATCACTAGTGCAAAAAGGCTTGTTGTTTTTTTTTAAATTGGTATTAAACCTGCATAACTGAATATTCTTTTTTATTTTAACGTGTTAAATAGAAAAAAGAAGGCCCTAGAGATTATAAACGTCAAACGGAGAAGTTTATAAAAATAATAATAACGGTGGCATAAGCCAAAAAAAAAGAGAAAAATTTCCTTAGCTATGCCAATCACTTATGCGTTTACTATACACTATTTTATAAAAAATTAAAAGATAATGTAATAATATTTTTAAATTACATCAAACCAGGTAAAGATTCAAAATCTTTCTACCGTCGGTGGAAATACAAAGTTGCGATATTCGCAAACACGATAAAATTTGAGGGGATGGTAAAGGAGTGTCTGTTAAAATGTCCCACAGGACGCCTAGAATCTACGCGACGGCCCTATTTAATGTTAATAAATAATTATTAATATTTTTTTGTTCAACCGTTTCATTGAGGTTGTCTATACATTACTTGATTAACTAACAGATCTAGTCTAGGAAATTCATGTGTTTAAATTTCTTTAACCTATTTAGATACGTGGAGTGAAAGGTGATAAATTATCAACCAGAGGTCAGCTGGAATCGTCTCTCTTAGTTTGCGCTGATAAAAAAAAAACAATAATGATACAAATGGAAGGTTCCTAAACGCAGCGCAGAAATGGGATCGTTTCTCCCAGTTTAGAGATTTCATTAGAGATTCCATCGATGAACTCAGCGCTGAATTAGAAACTTCTCCAAATAATACAAATTACTATAGTCAATGTCTAAGTCGGAGTGTATGATGATATAACATACGCTCATAATAAATCACATACATTTGAACTAAAATTAATTATAATAAACCATAACTCTGAGAAATTATTATAAAGTAAAAGATTTAACATAAAACATTCACCCAACACATACATTTTATTTTATGAATCAATAAATATTATAGTAATTGATTGAAGAAAATGAATTCAATACAAATTTGTTTAACAAACATAATTTTTTTTTATATATCTTTTTATTGAGAAATAATACATTTTGTCACATTTAAGGGCACTGAGTACTAAAGCTGAGTGAGGCACATTCATACTGTATATACAGTACAATAAAAAAAATAAAAAATTAAAAATTAAAATATATATCAATATAGCAAAGGTAAAAACTATAAAACCAAAGAAATGTAACCTGAAATCAAATTTTTAAAAAAATACAGAAATTGGTAGCAAATTAAATAAGTATTAATTTTTTTTTAATTAATCAAGTATACTATACTAATATTATCTTAATTTTAATATTTTATATTTTATTAGTTGTTATATTCTATCAGATTTATTCCTTAGATTACAGTATTAAAGTTCTTCGACGATGATCTTTTATAAAAACAAGTTGAACAAGAAATATATAAATAGAACATAACAAATAGTCATGAATCGGTATCAGATATGTTTGTTATAAAATCGATAAATAACAATTAAATGCATTATATGGGTCAGAGACAGAGCAATTAGGCCACGTTGATGCATATATCTAGTAAACCCAGTAACATTTGAACTTCAAACCCATTATATACATATTTATTTTTAAATAATTACTTTAACAATTGGGTCATGCGACGAAACACAGATAGTATTCTGATTTTAATGCATTTAGAATAGATTAGTCTCTAAATAAATTAAATTTACGAATGTACTTTTCCCCAAGGCTACTTCTGTTTTCGATATTCGTTTTAGACAGGAAATAAGTCAAGAAAATATAAATTACCTTAACATATGAGACGTAGAATTTGGAAACCAGCCAAATCCATTCTCTAATTTTTTAAATACTTTTTTAAAATAATTTTTGTATTACACCAGGGGCTCCCATCCCCCCCTCCAAGGTCGATGGCGCAAGAATCTACTATCCCCTCCCTTAATAAGAATTACTAAGAATACTCTTCTTCCGAGATATTTTATTGCTCACAGTTTCTTAAAAACAGAGCAAAATCAGAAAAATCGTAGACCATATACAATTTCACTTGCTGCGGTCCACAGGCATATCTACGGAAGAGGGGAGGAGAGAGGGGCTTTCGGGCTGAATCTTTCCTCACCCTCCCCCCCCCTAATGGCAAAATATAACCATGTTTTTATAAATAAATATTAAAAAACTATCTCTTAAAGTATTATTGTTCGTGTAATTACATTTAATAAGACTTCAAGAATCCCTTAAGCACCATTTCATATAGGTAGTTATTATCTTTCTGTTTTTTTCAAAGTAATTATCGTTATATATATGAAAAAAAAAGGTTTCGGGCTGAACCCCCCCTCAAAATTAAATCCTAGATCCGCTAGTGCTGCAGTCTGTTTCATTTTTTCCTATTATCGTCCCTTAATCCGAAAATTCATACCCCATCGAAATTTTTCACCCTCCCAAAATTCAAAAACCCATCAAAATATGCCCCTTCCCCTATCAAAAATTTTGATAGCTCAACTTGCGCCATGAAATCTCCTTCTGAACTTGCCTGTATTACACTATCATGAATTCTCATTGTTAGCAATAAATAAATATATATATATATATATATATATATATATATATATATATATATATATATATATATATTGGTTTAATATATTTTAATGTGATAGATTGAAATATATCTCAACAAATAATTTTCGAATGAAAAAAATATATATTTTAACTTAAATTTTGAGGTTTACAATTCTGAGGATTGAAAATAGTTCCATTTTAACAGTTTCTGTAGAACATTTTTTTGTAAAAAAGTTCTTAAAATAAAAGTTTTAAGGAATTTTTTTGTAATAAAGTTCCATATTTATGGTAAAAGTTTAACTTTAATTATATTCCTGAGGCCTTGCTTTTCCCTTCACAAGTTTGGTTCGGAGTTCTCATGGCCGATTGTAAATAGTGTAAATAGTTATGCCTGCGTCTAAGATGTTTATTTTCATTTTTTTTTTTTTCTAGGAACATTTGAATTCTATTTTATTTATTTATTTTTATTTATTATTATTTTCTTCCCTCATTATTATAGTTTATTTTGTTCTTATTTCGCTGTAAATTATTTTGAAATTACCTTATTTATCTTTTTATTTTGTAAATATGGTGTGAATGTTCTCTCTGAACTCTATTATAAGTGTCCTTGATTGAGACAGATTGTAATATTTATCAATATTAAAAAAAGTTCCGTTGAAAGAAAAATAAACAGTAATTGGGCTTAGATTAGAGTTATAATTACACATGGCTTAAAAATCAATTACACATGATTCTAATGTGTCGTTTGTTTGAGCAGTTCTGAAATAAAATAATTTTTTAGATCGTCTTTACAGCGAAATCGACAGAACTTTTAAATAAAAGTTTTTTTTTAAATAAATGTTATGTAAATTGTTTTACTTTGAAATTTTGCAAAGGAAAAAATTCTAGTTCCAAAATAACTGAAAACTAGCAACAATAGAAATTCCAGTGATAACGAAACTTTTTAAAAATAGAAGTTTTTTTCCTATATGATGTTGTGACGTAACTTATTTATGGATAAATAACATAAATGTTCAACTTACTCTTAGCAAAACTATTTATAATAAGTTATGAAACACACTGATCTCTAGAGCAGTATAGAAACAACAATGATAGGCATTGTAAATTTTCTTTTAAGAACTTTGTTCATAATAGAGGGCATTGTTCTTCAATATAGAAAAACTATAACATTTAAATCAACAAGAAAGTTTATTAATTACATTTAAAGTCCAACCTGTCCATTACTGGGTCCCTTGTCCATATATGGTGTGTTCACCCTAATATATTTAAGTAATTGTAAGTTCTGGTATAATGATATATGATATTCAGTCGGTAAATAAAGTGTGAAAGTATTCGACAAACACACAATCAAATATTGACTCCTTAGCCACTCGTCTTTGTTCGCTACTTCCTGGATGCTCAAAAAATAATTAGTAAATAATCAATTAGTATCGTCATAGCTTGTTTCGAGAAGATAGTGTCTAATCGATAACTAATGTTTTCTCGGCCTATATTTTTATTTAGGTTCTTATGGTTTCGAGAAACTGTAGGAGTCAAAAGCTATTTAAAATTTTCAGTGTAAAAAAATGTACAGAACTTTTATTTTTAAAAAACTTTCATTTATAATTCCTGTCGATTTCACTAAAAAGTCTATTTAAAAAATTACTTTTACTCTTAGCTACTCAAACCACCGACAATAAATAATAATTATAAAATTTATTGTTATACTTCTTTCTTTTTTTTTAATCTTTGTTTATCTTTTGCAGAGAAAAAGTCGGTTCTCAAATCGATATCTGGAAATTTCAAATCCGGTGAGCTTTCCGCCATCATGGGACCTTCAGGCGCTGGCAAATCGACACTTCTCAACATCTTGACGGGTTTTCAGTGAGTACAATTTACTATTATAATATATATATATATATATATATATATATATATATATATATATATATATATATATATATATATATATATATATATATATATATTATATTTTATTATTATATATGTTATATATTATATATTATATTTATTTATGACTGTCGAATAATTATATATTGAGTAGACAAATTCAAATACCATGACTCCTCAATGAATGACCAAAGGTCCGAAACATACCAGTTCATAACAAGCGCAAACAGAGCTTTATTCATTCTTCCAAAACCATTAAAATCCCCAAAATATCTTTACAAATCTCAAGTTAATGGTGGACTGTGATACAGTCAGTTCCACAGGTGCTCATAAGGGGGTTTTATGGTTCAAAATGTATGGGTTTCTATATCACTCCAATGCCGCCTCCGAAGTACCATCTTAAATTTGGGAATGAAGAATAAAGAGTAATACGGTACCAAATCAGGAAAATAATATAATGTTTCGTGATGGCATCAAATTTGAGACTAAAATCTCACGCACAGCCAGCGTGAGAACGTCAATGTAATAGTTTCCACTAATAGCATGACCTGCAGGGACAAATTCCCAGGGGCCAATGCCCCTAAAATATGAAAAAAATAATAATATTTATATATGCACATATATACATGTATGTACCTTTAAACATTCGTAAATACGTGACCCAGAACAATTAGCCGTTATATCAGATCAAGAGAAGGGAACTGTACATTAATTATGTTTTCATACTTTATTGTTATTTATTCAATTTTAAATGATATAAGTAACCATATCTTTTTGTCTATGCTCATAGGACTATGTTACTTGCTGTGTGTGTGTTCTAATTTTTTAACTTCGACATTCGAATACCATATATTTTTTTTTCCTACAAATTTCATAAATTTTCTTATATTGGTTTTACCGAAATATGTATATATTGTATGATTGTAATTGTGTGTGTTAGTATATTATAGCATTGATATTGTTTATGCTGTGTGATATGAAAAAGAATTATTTATTTATTTATTTATTTATTTATTTATTTATTTATTTATTTATTTGGTATTTTGTTGCCTCTACCCTGTAGGGTCATTGGCAAGGCCTTTAAATTACACTCTGTTGCAGAGTTTTATCACTTTCATTAACGATTTCGTCAGGGTCAGTTATAATGTCTTGTCCACTCTTTTTACCAGGCAATTTCTTTGTTTTGGAGATCCCCTTAATGCTTTTCACTTTATTCCAGAGCTCCTTCATTGAAATGCTTTGATTTAATGAAGATACGAAGTCTTCCCTTGACGATCTCTTGCTTTTCGGTATATATCGTAATCTTTGTATCTCACTGTTTGAGTTTCTTGTAAGTGTGTTTCTTGGAGACAAACTAGTATAGGGTTCTCTTCGCTTATTGTCATTTTTAGGTCCTCTAAATGTCGGAAAAATCTGTTACAATTCCATTGAATAATTGTTTTCATTTTGATTGGCAAAGTGTTTCTTATTTCCCAGATTATTGAAAAAATTAGAATTATTGAAATGATTATTGAAGAATTAGTATATATATAAACATATGATTAAGTATAATTAAGAGCTATGTCCAAAGAAATAAGGATTGATGAGTATGCTGCGTATCGAACAACACTATATAGTAGGGCAGCACTGTTTTAAATAAAGTATTTCTCTCTATATATTTTGTCTAAAAGGTGATTTTTTGTCAGTACGCCATAACTTCGTCAATTCTTCATCAAATCCAATGATTGACCTCTCATTTTGAAGATCTTCTTCTCCTTCACATGTGAAAAATAGTCATATCCTCCCGAAATTTCTAGAAAAAATTTATGAAGGGAAAGAAACTTTATTTGCGAATAACTCAGAAAGTATGCATATTTTTCTTGATTGTACCCCTGATTATTAGACTACTAAATTACCTGCAAAACAAAAACAAATCGGACAATTATTAACAAAGATACAGTCTATTAGCTTAGGTATGCTTTGTAATATCTTCCTCTTTAAAAATACTGCATTTACTATTCGACTACTTATATATACTTTATTATTTCTTATAGACATTTTTTTCTTCGTATATTTTATATTTTTTAGAAAATCCCATAATTCAGACTTCATTTTGAATATTACCTTTCAGTCAGGGTTTAAAAATAGGCCCTAGCAAAACAATTTGTACATATATTTTGCTCTATTGCGTTAAATGTAATATTACAATCGATCAAGGAGATACAGTTAATTCCTCTCTCTCATTATACATAGGATCTAGTTATTACAATGGGTCGTTTGGCCTATATCGCATCGTTATTTTGATAATTTGGAGGTGTAGGTCGCGATAAACGGCTCAATTTTTCTGAGGCCACCTTTTTTTTTCGACTTTGTGCTCAAATTATCTTACGATTCAAGTGGAAAACAAATAGGTATTTACGAGTTTTTAGTACTTGGTTAAATAGACAAATTTTGCCGGCTTCCTGATTGAAAACGCCCCAATCCGAGAATTTTCGTAAATAAAATATTTGTAGAGGAAGTAGATGGTCCGGGGTAGCGATCATAAATAGGCTAAATAGTGGCAAAACTATTTTATTAAAAGCCAACGTTTCGACCCAACTTTGCAGGTCTTCTTCAGGGAGGTGTGTTCAGCTAGGAGTTTCTATTAGAACTGAAGTAGTAGTTCCTGCAAGGAGACCTGCAAAGTTGGGCCAAAACGTTGTCTTTTAATAAAATAGTTTTTCCTCTATTTAGCCTATTTATGACCGCCACCCCGGACCATCTCCTTCCTTTATAATGCAACGGTCAATTATTAAATATTCAAAATATTTGTAGGTTATGGTGAAATGAAGCTATTTACGAAGTTTCAGGCGGACGTTAATAATTTGATACATACATCAACCTTCAGTAATCAAAGGCAGATAGCGTTTGTACAAACATAAAACATACTCGTATATGTGTATATATATCAGTATGTATTGAGATATCAAAATGACTCAGATTTAAAAAATATTTATTCAGCAAGAGACCTGATTCACTTTCATAAGGATATTAGCATTAGCATCGAGAAAGCTCAGAGGTGAAATCAACGAACGATTTGAACACCTACGTCACATTGTTTTAATACAAACACACCTACACTAATTAAAAAACGAATATAAACCGGTCTTTTGAGTATAGTTGATTATACAATTAGGAGCGTCACTCACGATATCTAGTCCTTGAATAGGCTACTTATAAGGAAGGGAGTAACCTCCTCATTTAACCGAAAATTGTTATTTTCCTTTTGGTTACCGGAAGATCTACGGGGAGGGGCTTTGGGGCTGAAGCCCCCTCCCTAAATGGCAAAATATAACCATGTTTTATGGAAAAAAATTATCTCTTAAAGTATTATTATTCCTGTAATTACATTTAAAAGTACTTTAGGAGTCACTTAAACACCATTTCATATAGGTAGTTAGTTTCCTTCTTTTTTTCCAAAGTAATTATCGTTATTTTTATGAAAAAAAAATCTTTCGGGCTGAAGCTTCCCCCCAAAAAATTTAATCCTGGATCCACTAGTGCTTTTGGCGAACCTATTTTTTTGGAAGGGATGGAGAAGAAGATATTATTTTACTCCCCGATTACCACTGGTTATATTTTATAATCCAATAATCGGACAAAAATAACCGGATTTGAAAAAAAAAAGTTTTTTTTTCTATCACCCAAACCACAAATTTGGAGTATCAAATTCTTATTACTTGTCACTAGTGGATCTAGGATTTATTTATTTTTTGGAGGGGGGAGCTTCAGTCCAAAAGCTTTTTTTTTTCATATATATATATATAACGATAGTTAATTTTAAAAAAAAAAAGACAGAAATGAACTACCTGTATGAAATGTTGGGTCTTGAAGTCCTATAAATGTAATTACATGAACAAGAATACATTAAGAGATAGTTATTAATATTTTTTTAATGTAAAATATGGTTATATTTTACCATTTTGAGGGGGAGGGGCTTCAGTCCTCACCTCCTAGATCCGCCTGTAGCTCCTATACAGGATATGAGAAATTTCAAGAATTAAAACATTTTAACATGGAATTAAAAAATATTGATCCCTAAAACCGTTACAACTATAATTTGTTTTTAATAATATATAGGTATAAAATAATTGCTTACTATCCAGTCTTAATATATCGTTTAAAGTCCATTTCATGACTTGATAGTTGATAAAAAAAGGCCTTTGCACAGAAAGTATTTCAAGGAGAGTTAGCTGATGCATGCTTCCTCTTTGTGTGAAACAGACAATTAATGAGTGAACTGACCATAGAGCCTTACTTGAAGAAATACAAGGGAGTTTTGTCATTATTGCATTTTCATATTTTCAAAATATGCAAATAACATATACCAAAATATACTTAGTTTGCAAAATAACAGGGCGAATGGCATTGTAATTATTGGATGTGTATTTAATTTTTAAATGAACAGAATATATCTAGATGTAATGTTTTTCATAAAACTAAGATATAAATTTCTTATTTATTTAATTTTTTTATTGTTTTGTTCTTGTACTAGAGTAGAATCGAAGGATACATTAATATTACAGTGAAAAATCAATACTGAAGGTCCTAAGAACTTAATAAATAATTAACAGCAGTAGCCATTTTCAGCATTTCAAACACTAGTCTATAATAATTGTGATACAACTCTATATTATAAATATTAATTAATTTTAAGTAATTTAATTAATAATTTTTGTTATTATTATTAACTATTATTTGGTAATTTTTCTAATGAATAGCTTTAAATTTCTGAAATTAAAGGTGAAGTTGCCAATTATAACTTCCTAGTGATTGTTGTTAATTTTTTTATTTATTAAAAATATAATTAAGTAATATCTATACCATAGATCTATAGATATATGCAATGTCTATATATATCTATAGATATATGCAACCTATTTTTAATCAATATGTATGCTCCTGAACTGTAAAAAGGTAATAAACAAATTTATAAATTGACAAAAATGGAAGGAGCCAAAGCCAAAAAAAAATAATAATAATAACAAATAAAAAAAATTAAATTAAAAAACTGACAGAGCAGCCAAATGATATTAATATTATATTTCTGATGATAAGAAGAACATTTCCCAAATGTTACAGAAATGTGATTAATTATAAAATAAATAACAATCACAAGGAATTTACGGTAGCAAATGTCACCTTTAAAATAAGAAACTTTCCAACAAAACAAAAAATAAGATAAAATACTCAAATTAGAGTTTATTGTAGCGATTTTTCCAGCATTAGGGCATCTCAAGGACTAAAACAAATTAATTTATAACCAAGGGCAAAGAAATTCACCAGTTATTTTTTTATTTCTTGTGTTCCTTGGTAGAAGGAATGTAAATTAAAATCCATATCACCCATCAAGTAAAAAAATAATCTTTTCTGAAAGTTTGTTGTATAAAATCCATGAGTTTAATTATATATTACTTATTTTTATTTTGAATTGGTGATAGATTTTATCATACATTATAATTGCTTAGCTTAGCGGACTTTAAGATTTACTGGATTTATGATGATTATGTTTTTAGAGTGCTACCCGTGGGTTTTCTCAACAAGTGATTTCATGTTATTATTTTGTGTTATCAAATTTACTAAATGTATTTTATTTATTAATACAGTTGTAAATATCATGAATAAATAAAAAAATAAAAAAATGATGATTATGATTTGTTTATGAGTTACCTGCATTGAATAGCTTCAAAAGTTTTGTTTATATTTTAATTTTATTTTTAAAAAAAACATTTTTCCTCATTTTCTCGTTTTCAACCCAAGCAGTACATCTGTGCATCACTCACATTCTTAAAATTGAGAAATTTTGTTCTTTTATAACTCATTATTAACTCACATTTAAAATGGATATTATTAAATTATGTTTGAATAAATATAAACACCTATTTATTTATTTTATGCAATCTATTTTCTGCAGAGTCCAGGGTATGTCCGGAGAGATTCAGATGGATGGTGTGGCGGTTTCCCCTGGAAAAAGTAGTACAAGATCTCTTAGTTGTTATATTATGCAAGAAGATCATCTCAACCCTCTGTTCACCACTCAAGAAATAATGATGGTTGCAGCGAATCTCAAAGTTGGATCTTCTCTCTCACCGAAAGCTAAGAAACTTCTGGTATAGTACACAAATCAATCTAAAAATTATATAATTTTAGATCATTATAGAGCAAAAATGGTTAACTTTAGACCATCTAGTAGGAGAAGTTGGATGTTAGTATCAGTCAAATATAAAAAAAAATTATTTTCGTTGAGCTGTTTTTGCCCTTTATATTGGCATTCATCTTGACAACTTCTGAATGAGCAAATTTAATTTTTTAGAGGCTGGGACACTTAGAATAAAATACCATATTAGTTTGATTATTATAATTTATTTTATGGCTTTATTTTATTTTTTTTTAAATTACTATTATTTTTTTTCTAAGGTTGAAGATATCTTAGATTCATTAGGAATGGGCACGACATTGTATACTAAGTGCGGACAGCTATCTGGCGGCCAGAAGAAAAGGCTGTGTATTGCACTTGAGCTCATCGATAACCCACCCATCATGTACCTAGACGAACCCACAACGTGAGTATATTTATTAGTATAATCAGGAATCATATACCTTAGTTTTAACCAGGGTTTGAAATTTTTAATTATTTTTTCATAAAATCGTGTAAAAATATTATATTTGATTTTTAGTATAAAAATTGTGCCTAATTCATAAATAAAAATTTAAATAGATCTTTGATTTTTATTTATTTGATTAAAAATAATAATAATAATAATAAAGCCTGTTCATACAAGTCTTACAACTTGTAGGCCTCCAATAATTAAGGGGGTATTATGGTCTAACTTCCCGCGGATACCAACTGTATTCGGAAGTAGGGCCGGGATTCAATCCTATGATCTTTGCTTTATTAGTATAGCTCGCTGACCACTCTGCTATACCGTCCCTGATCAAAAATAATGATCTCCAATTGAATGATATGGTTTTACATAAATAATAATGATTAAATTGTTATAAAAATAATGTTGATCAGAAAAAAAAATCACCTTTTACCCACAAATTTGTATATATGTTATTAACGTACATATTTCTAATATTATATTTCTGAAATTGCTTTAATTATTAATGTGTTAGCTGTGCTAAATATATGTATGCATTCTTTTTCTTTTTTTTAAGCAAGGCAACATTTTTAATGGATTGCGGAAATAAAGATATTCTGTTGCTTATACTTGACAACAATATTTACAACCTACTACTCCAGACTCAAAATATATCATAGAGATTAGAAAAAAATTATATTTATGATTTTAAAAAGTATTACTTAAGAATTATTATTATCGATTATAAAAATTTTGTTCAACAATAATGATCAGGATATGGTTTTTATCACTTATGATCAAAAATAAAAATTGCTTGATCTGATTTGATTTTTTTAATTATCGATTTCAAATCCTGGTTTTAATATCTATAAATCAAGAAGGTGCAATACACCTCATACTTTTCAAATCTTTTAATTTATATATTTACTTTAAATATTTTTACTATCTTCCATATTAACTAGCAAAAAGAGCTACACAAACAAATACCTTTTAAACACTTAATTAAATGAAATATTAATTTATATATATTTATATAATATAAATAAATATCAATATATTGTAATCATTATTTCAAGTATATAAATTTTAGAACTTATTCTAACCCTGCGCTATTTTTATATGGAAATCTTAAAACAATAATTAATTTGACAGGGGTCTCGATAGCTCTTCCGCAACACAACTTGTCCGGTTGCTTAGAAATTTAGCAAACGGAGGCAGGAATATTGTATGCACCATACATCAGCCATCGGCCTATATATTCGAACTTTTTGATCATGTCTACATGATTGCCAGCGGCCAATGTGTCTACCAAGGATCTCCTCTTAATTTGGTTCCATTCCTGCAAACGATGGGGATCCCATGTCCACAGTACCATAACCCAGCTGATTTCAGTAAGTCACATATTATTTTTTTTATTTTGTTTTATTTATTAACATAGAGAACTAAATCTTTAACCGTCTAAAACAGATTTCTTACGTTGACAGATTGGTCAGGTTAAGTTACCTGCAGCCCACATCACATTCACATCTCTTTACATTTAAATAACCGTGTATATCAACTTATAGCAATGTTTTTAGGCTGTCGTAACTTTTAGTTCTTCCTAGGAAATAAAAACATACATTATTTTTATTTTTCAATCAAAGATATTCAACATCCCCCTTTATTATTTTTTAATTATTAATCAAAATCTATAATTAGGAAGCTAATTAAGATCAAAGTGGCATAGAACTAGATATCCAACAGATAAAACTCATTACACCCAACTGACTAACAAACTAAAATCAGAAATTAGAAAATCCAAATTCGAAATTTACTAAATTTTACTGAAAAACTTACACCTACCAACAAATCACTATGGACGACGACTAAAAGGCTCCTGAAATTTAAAGAATTTAACTTTAACTTCCAATTTATTACAAAAGACTCATATATATGACTGTAATAAAGCCTATATGGACTTTCGGAGTTGAGCTATGGGGCTCTACTAAACCATCAAATTCTTCTCGTATCCAACCCTTACATCCAAAATCCTTCATAAAATCCTTACTGCTCCTTACTTTGTCACGAATAGAATAATCCATACAGACCGTAATGTTCCATATATTTCCGAATTGGCTCAATCCAGATACCTATCCTTCCATAATAAATTTCATAACCATCCGAACCCTCTCGTTTCTAACCTTGCTTCCTCTTCGATTCCTGATAACCCTCCGAGATATCTGAAAAGAAGATGGCCTCGTGATCTCCTTATGTAGACATATTATTAGAGTACTACCAATGGGTAGTTTCTTAACAAGCGTTTTCATGTGATTATATTCCTCTGTACACGTTTACTTTACGTATTTATACTAATACAGTTGTAAATATCATAAATTAAAAAAAAAAACACCCCAGGAGGTCTCCCGATCCCAGGGGCGATCCACGGCTAATGAAAAATTACTAGTCATTAGCCGGATACCTCTGTGGATTGTGAAAAACACAATAAATCCAATTTTTTTAAAACTAATTTTAATAATTTTGTATCATTTATGATTTTTCAGTGCTTGATGTTGTATCTGGTGAATTTGGGCAGTTCAATGATCAGTTAGTAATAGCAGCCAAGGATCCGTCGTGGAGAGCACCTGAACCGAAGCAAGGTAATGTTATATGTTATTTAGTTTATATAAAATATTGTATTTATTTCAAAAAGTTATCAAGTGACAATTCATAAAACCATTTAGTGTAACTCTATTTCATATATATTGTATTTTTGTTAGTACAAATAAGATCAAAATTCACAAAAACGTACTTAAAAGTTAACTCCATTAAAAATGTACTTAGTAAGTTTTTTCAATAAACCAATGATATTTTTTTTTTTTTTTTATCAGAAGTAAAGTTTTCATCTTGTTAATTTTCTTAATCTAAAAAGTTGTAAATGATTGATTAAATTTTTAAAAATAAATAAAACTACATTAAAATACTAATAATTTTGAGACCATACTGAAACCTATCTGGATCTACGGACTTGAACTGTGGGGAACTGCTAAACATTCGAATATCAAACGCATCCAATCCTTCCAGTCCAAAGTACTTAGAACAATAGTCAATGCCCCATATTATGTCACAAACAAGACCCTACACCATGATCTTAACATCCCATTTGTCCTCGACATCATCCCATCCAGATTCTCAAACTTTCACCAGAACCTTATCCATCATCCAAAAGCTCAATCCCTATCCAGCTCCCTTCATCCTTACAATCCTCCACGAAGGTTAAAACGGCAGTGGTCCAGAGATCTCTTGTAAATATGCTTCTGGAGTCCTGGGAATGGCCAGCATCTTCACTCATGTTCTGAGCGTCTGTGGCTCTAGTGCCCTCTTTCAGTCTCCACTGGCTTTTAATACTAGTGATGCGGCTGGAAAAGTGGCACTGGGATCTCCTGAAGTCTTGCTTTGCCTTCCACATGTGGGGGAAGAAGCCTGGCTCGGAGATTCCTGGGCGAATGTATATATTGTATATAGGTATGATTGTGTTTAGAAGTTTCTATTTTATGTTATTTGTTTACTTTTTTTTTCTTTTATTTACTTAATTCATCAGTATTATTTATTTACTTTTTATATTTATATTTATTTCTCTATGTGTATATATTGTATGAATGAGAACTCTTAGCCCTAATACTTATAGCCCTCCAGCAGTGGTTGATTGTATTATTATTCAATAAATAGATTAAAAAAAAAAAAATTTAATTCCCATAGTCACATAATAAAATAATATTGTTTATTTTTGTTTTCACTCTAGATGCAGTTGTTCCAAAACCTAAAGAGAGTGTAGGTGGAAATACTCAGAAAGCTTGTGTGATAATTCAGGCACCATCGGAATTTTCAAGATTTTTTGTTTTATTCAAGAAAAACTTAGTGTATCTTCATAGGGATTGGGTGAGCATTTGTTAGTAATTATAATGGATGAGTTTCCTATCAAAAGTGGACATATCCATGTTCATTTTTGTTTGCAAAGTAGGAGTGAAAACTGATTTTTACTTAAGAGATATTTACTTTGAAAACGCGATCTTTCCATTCATTATTCTATGAAGAAATAAAATTTGTTATAGAAGCATATCTAGCATTAAGTACATTTGTACTTACACTTGTTACAGACATAATCAAAATCTCATTTTTGATTAAAGTGGAAATACCCTCTTTTTTTATCAAGCTCCTCAATTCAATTTCTTCTCTCACAAAAATTAACCATTTTAATTTATATGTTTATCAGAAAAGTGTAATAATTTAAAATAACTATAAATCTTTTCAGACTTTTGTTTACCTCAAGGCTTTTCTTCACCTGTTAGTTGGAATCGTTGTGGGCTTAATATTTCAAAATGTCGGCCATGATGGAGATAAAGCACATACAAATATAACTTACTTTTTATGTGTTGCTGTTTATCACTCGTTCACTTCTCTAATGCCTGCAGTATTGAAATGTATGTATTTTTTAAATTTATTACTGTATAAATAGTTTTGTCTGTTTTCCTATATTTATCATAGGTGTTATTCTTTCCTGGAAAAGGTCTATTTCAATTCTGAAATTGTTCATACATTACTCAACAATCCATTCCTAACTCCACAAAAAAAAATCTACATGTTTATTGTTTGTTAATACATGATACCTGTCATTCATTATATCATTACAAATGTTATATTTGATTTTGGGCAATTTTAATAGACCCTCAAGATTAAGAAGTGAGGGAATAGGAAAACTGTTGTTCTTTATAAATTATATACAAATTAAAAATTAAAATGTTAACAACTTTGTTAATTGTATAATTTCAATTGTGCAATTCATTTTTTCTACTTCATTTCTTATGTCAAAACATGAAGAAGATTTAATAGATAAATTAATTAGCTTTTATTTTAGTTATAGTTGTTCAATCAGTTTTGCTGATTATGTTGAATATTGTTAATTAAATCTTCTAATTTATATTTTTTTCTACTTCAAGCTTAATATTATGGTATATAATATCCCCAAGCATTAATTATGAAATCTGTGCTCTGTCACTGATAATTACTTAGTTCTGTTTACTTAACTTATTTTGTATATTTTTTGTTTGCAGTCCCTTCTGAAATCAATATTCTGAAAAAAGAACAATTTAATAATTGGTACAAGCTGAGAACCTATTATATTGCCTTTATTTTTACTAATATCCCTGTACAAGTAAGTATACTAGATTTTCTGATAAATTATTTAAAATAAAACTATTGAATAATTTATATAACATTAGGAAGTATATGAATTAGATTTTAATCAGTTACTTTAAAAAATATGCCATCATTCAAATTGAGTTGATTTTTTATCAGTGATGCACCATACCAGTATATTCTCTAGCTGAATATGTATGGAGCATGATTGATTCAACATAGAACGTTAGTGATTCAAGTAATCACTAATCTGCTATTTATACAGTATATTTATGTTATATATTTATTTTAATTTAGTAGAATATTAATTTAAATTTAAGGAATAGTTACTTTAATATGGCTTTTTTGACCCCTACAGATGGCCTTTAGCTTTATTTTTGTCACTACATCTTATTACTTGACCAATCAGCTGTTTGAAGTGACCAGGTTTATAAAGTTTTCTTTAATATGCCAGTTGACTATAGTGATATCGGAATGTACAGGACTCTCCATTGGAACTGCAGAGAATCCTGTGGTAAGGATCTTTTGATAACCTACTATAGCGTAAAACTGATAGTGATACTAATACTGTAAAACATTTTATTTTGATTATATACTTATTTATTTGAGGTTTTACTTTTCAAGATAGAATCTGAAAATCAAACAAAAAAAAATCGGTTTGTCTATGGTTTTTCTCCGAGATTACGGGATCGATTGTTTTCAGATTTAGTATCAATGTAAAAGTGCACCGAAGGATAATCCTCGGAACTTGGCTTTACCATCTGTCCTTTCCTTTCAAAATGGCGGTCAAAAAACCAGTGTTGCTAGACTGTATCGCCTAAACTAAATTTCAATGAAACTTAGCCAAAGATTTTTTCTCGAAGCCTTTTAATTTTATCTATATAACATACTTCACCGAAAAGTACTTCCTTTCGAGAAGGCAGCCAAAACCTGGCCAAAGTCTGCTCCTTCTAAGCCTTTAAAATCTATATAACATACTTCACCTAAAAGAAGCTGGAAAAATGTTATGAGGGAGTGATTAAATTAGATTTCCTAATTATTCAAAAAGTGAACACTTTTTTGTTGATGTTATAAATATGGTCATTTAAAAGTTTATAAAATTTCCAAAAACAAACAAAAATGTTGAATTCGAACGATTTGGTGCAAAGATATATTGTTCTAAATATTTTTCTACCGATTCTGCTGCAAATCTGATATCCTTTGTTTATATTTTTGGAAAGTCTCACATTAACTGAAGCAATCGAGATTCTTGTCTATATTTCTTAGCAAATTACTAATGATAAAGAAAAAAATTATGTAGGGAAATATTAATAATAATAATACTATATTTATTCTGGGACCCTTAGAATAATATAATAATACCGAAACGTTGGCTAAGTAGCTTCAGAGATACATATAAAATAATCACAAAGTAAATAAACAGTCATAATAAAAAAGTATCAGTTACTTTCTGACTTTAATCAATTAATAAAAAAAATATATAAAACGTAAGTAAAAATAATTAAGAATGATCTCATAATTTATATACATATGTACAGTAATATTTATTTTCAATTTTATTTTAGAGATATATTATTTATTTTATATGTAATTATTTTATTATTATTATTAAAATGGCACTGCTGTCCTGCAAGAACCCGTGCCTCCTCCACTATTGCCAGCCAATCTTCACGGTCTTGTGCTACTTCCCTCTGTCTTCGAACACCCAGCAGTCTTGCACATCCTCCAGCCATCTGATCTGAGGGCGCCCTCTACTTCTTTTGCCATCTGGCTTCTCGTACAACATCCTCTTCATCATTCTTTCCATATCTTATCCTGGCTTTTTATCAATGCCACAATATCAGGTTCTCCATAATGTTCCCGCATTTCCTCATTCTTTCTTCTCCAAATTCCTTTCTCAGAAATTTCACCCCATATTCTTCTCAATACTTTCCTCTCACAGGAATTGAGCATGCGTTCTGAGTTTTTGGTCACGGTCCAAGTCTACATAAGCACTGGCCTTACTATGGTTTTGTAGATGAGGATTTTGATTCGTTTAGAGAGTGATCTAAATTTCAAGTCTCTTTGCAGTGAGAAATAACATCTATTTCCTGCTGCTATCCTGGCCTTTATTTTACTCTCTATTTTATTATTGGATGTGACTAGGCTTCCAAGGTACTTAAACTGGTCAACAGACCTAAAGTTGTTATCTCTTAACGCTGTTTCCATTAACTCTAAGGCCCAGTTTAACCTTAATTATTTATTAGATTCCACAATTTTACTATATAATCATTGCTCTACTGTTTATAATATTTTGATAATTTTATGAAAATATCCCAGATCATCTTTAGATTGTTTTTTTTTTGTTTGTTTTTTATAAAATAATTAATTTTGTTTCAGAATGGAATATTCTGGGGGTCCATCATAATGGCACTTCAAATCGTACTGGGAGGTGTATTGGCTGTTTTATCACACATGCCATTACCACTTTATTACGTTTCGTTCCTCAATTACATACGTTATTCTACCCAAGCCTTGGCTATAACTATGTATGGAGGAGACAGAGAGATACTTCCCTGCCCTAAAGAAGAATTTTACTGTCATTTTCGGTATCCTGAAAAAATTCTTGATGAAATGGGTATGACAGATGTCAGTTATTGGGGAGACGTCAGCATACTTTCTATTTTTTCAGTAATTTTTATATGCAATGCATACTATTTCCTTCATAAAAAAGTAAAAAGTAGGGTATGAAATATTTAAAGATATTTCAGAAAACATTGGTTTCTCTTCGTTCCTGAAAGTAGAGGAAAAGTTTCTACTTTTCTAGGATTCTGACGATTGTAAATAAAAGTGTAAAGTAAAAGTATAGATACTAGCACATTATTGTACCTACAAGTTTAATATAATTATGATAGAATATTATTAGATTATTTAACTTTTAGATTTTATATTATAAAATGTGATATTCTCTTTTTTAGTGATATAAGTAATGTAATTTTTGTATATTTCGTATTTTTGACAGTATTTAAGTTTTTCAAACATGAAATGACATCTGTTGAAATTAAATATTATTCTGATAACATAATCTCTTATTGAAAAAAAACCTTGAATTATTTGAATTGGAAGAAATGAACTATGCTTTTTGTCTATGTATATTTAATGAATTGTGTTAATTTTAAATATAACTTTATCATAGGTTAAATTGTAAACTATAAGAATTATTTAGTAATAACTCAAGACATGACAATTAAATATAAACTTGTTAAAACTTTTAGGTTTGTTAAGATTTATTGAGCGTTTTCTATTCTACGCATCCTTGAAAAATGTGTATACCAATTCTGTGAATTGTATGTAGTGCACAGAAGTAATTATTTTAAAAGATAGAATTAATGGTGTTTGAAGAAATGCGACTATTAAGCCAAGGCCTTATCCGTGGTTTTTGACATTATCAAACAATATTTCATAACATGTTCCCAAAAAACAGTATTTGCTAGCAATAGTTATCTGAAAACGTGTGTAAAATGTGAATATTGGACACAAAAATGCACTAAAACAGGAAAAGGTAAATGAATATTTTCTTTAAAAATATATATGTTATTATAAATAATTGTTTTTTAAGAAATAGTACAAAATAAAGGATCATTTAAAAACATTTTGTAATGATAAATGATTATTGTAGATGGTAAAATTTTTTACTCTGTTAGTTATTATTAGTCAACGTTTACTGTAATTATAAATATATATTTTGTCCTGATAACTTATATTATTTATTAAATACAATTATTTCTTCAAAATTGTTTTATTTTTTAACGGTTATTTGAGAGTTAAAATTTTCTTAAAAGCACCTATTCCCTTTTCCTTATTATCCTCTTCCTATCTCATCTGATGTTTCCATCAGAAAAACTTATTCTTATCAATTGGGCAGTGTCAACTCTTTGTTTCCAAGATGATTGTAGCTAATTTCACAAAAAATTGAACTTATTGATGTATTTCTTATAAGTACTATAGTTTAAACATTAACAGACATTTGTCTATAAAAATGATATTTTTATAGACCATTATAATTTACTATTCTCCAAATATCCAAACAGATCTTTGTACCTTGGTATAGAATAGTCAGTTGTTTGTTTCCTGATTTCAGTAAGCATCAGTAGATCCAGAAGATTTTAAAGTTGTAGTCCCTGGAATTGACCCCTTTTAATAAAATTATTAACATGGCCTGAAACTTCATGAATAGCTTCATCTCAATGTAACCTACAAATATTTTATTTACGAAAACTTCTAGAATTGGGGCGTTTTCAATCTAGAGATAAGAAAACTTTGTCTATTTAATTAGGTATTCAAACCTCATGAATATTTATTTGCTATCCATTTGAATCATAAGATCATTTGAGCATGAAATCAAGAAAAAAATGTGACCTTCAAAAATATTGGGGGCCGTTTGGGCTATATAACCTAGTTATTTTGACATTTTGGGAGTGCAGGACAGGACACAGGCGGATCTACAGGGGGAGAGGGGGAGAGGGTTTTGGTCTGAAGCCTTCTCCCAAAATGGAAAAATATAATCATGTTTAATGAAAAAGTTATCTTTAAAAGTATTATTGTTCGTCTAATTACAGTTAATAGGACTTCAACAATGACTTAAAAACCATTTCATATAGATCGTTAGTTTCTTTCTTCCGAAGTCATTATCCTAATATATTTATTAAAAAAATCTTTTGTGCTGAAGCCCCCTCCCAAAAATTAAATCCTGGATCCGTTAGTGGGTCAGAACTAACTGCTCAATATTTTAGAAGTCCACCTTTTTTCTATATTTTGTGCTCAAATGATCAAAACGATTCAAGTGAAAAGCAAATGTGTATTTAGGAGTTTTTAGTATCCAATTAAATAGACAAAGTTTACCGACCTTCAGATTGAAAACATCCCAACTTCGAGAATTTTCCCAATTTCAAGAGTTTTCTTAAATAAAATATTTGTTTATGAGTTTTTAGTAATTAATTAAAAAGACAAAGTTTTCTGGTCTCTAGATTGAAAAACCTATTAAGAAAATTTTCGTAAATGAAATGGTTGTAAGTTAAGATGAGAAGAAGCTATTTATGAAGTGCGGATGTTAATAATTTGGTAAAAAGGGGTCTGTACCACCGACTATTGATTTTGTTGTCAACACTAATGGATCCAGGATTTAATTTTGGGCAGGCTTCAGACCGAAATATATTTTGTTTGTATGTATATATGAGGATAATTACTTCGGAAGAAAGAAAGAAACTAACTACCTATAAGAAATGGTGTTTAAGTGCTTCTTTAAGTCCTATTAAATGTAATTAGATACTTTTAGAGATAATTTTTTTTATAAAATGTGGTTATATTTTACCATTTTGGGAGTGGAGTTTCAGCCCGAAAGCCCCTCTCCCCCGTAGATCCGCCTGTGTTGGTCGACAATATCTTACAAATCATGTCTTTTAAATTTCCTGTTACTTTAACAAGGAAATCATTGGTTCAAGTATAGTTTGAGGTATTGTATACAGTTAAGAGGTAAATAAGGGAATAAATGAGAGGGCTTAAAATACTAGCGGATTCAGGATTTAATTTTGGAGGGCTTCAGCCCAAAAGCTTTTTTTTTCATATAATTAATGATAATTACTTTGGAAAAAAAGAAAGAAACTAACTACCTATATGAAATGGTGTTTAAGTGATTCCTAAAGCCCTTTTAAATGTAATTACACGAACAATAATACTTTGAGAGATAATTTTTTAATATTTTTTTCGATAAAACATGGTTATAATTTCCCATTTGGGGGGGAGGAGGCTAAAGAGGCTGCTGAAGCCCCCCCTCCCTCACGTAGATCTGCCCGTGGCTTAAAACACTACCTATTGAAGAAAAAATTTTAAAAAGAAAAATCCATGGGAATTCACTTATATTTGTCGAAGAAGAGAGATTGAAGAATTAGAAAGTAAGTAGAAGGTAAGTGTGGTTTTATTTTTCAAAATACGCCATTGTATGAGACACTACCTGATTCTTTTTCAATGTCAAGGAAATTCCGGGAGAAATATTTCTTTTTCAGAAACGCAACAGTCAATGTCCACTGTCTCATGACTCTATTGTACAATACAGTTTTATAACCAAAGTTTAGTACTTCGGAAAACTTGTGTGGCGCAGGCACATATTAATTTTGATAAACTGTACATTAAAAATAATTAAATAAAATAATCTCCCATCATTCAGCCATAAGATTTTACCCCACCCTTCTGAACTTTTCAGCAATGCCGTCAACCTAGATTTTCAATGTAAGTAAACTTCTTTAATTTTTCATCAAAGCGCTCTCACTCAAACTTCACTGGCTTTAGTACGAATGACGCGGCTGAGAGAGTAGCACAGGGATCTCTTGAAGTCCTGTTTTTCCTTCTATAGTTGGGAGAAGCCAGGCTTGGGGTTCCCTGCCTGATTGTATATAGGTATGACTGTTTTTTTATGTTTTTAATTTACTGATCTTTAGGTTATTTTATTTTTTATTGTACATAGTTTTTGATTATTATTTTACTTTTGTTAATTTTCTATTTTCTATATATATGGTATGAATATGTTCATATATCACTATAATTATTGTCCAGATTGTTATATTTCTAAATAAATAAATAAAGTTATTTGTTGTGATATTAAAAAAAATAAAATAATAAAAAATTCATGTGAAATCAGCTCGGACAACAAGATTGTTTCAACATCCAAGTTTGAAGAATGTTTTTAATAACAATCATTTACAGTTCACAAATAGCCATTGACCTGTTAGTCGTCTGTATAGATTTTAACACAGATATCAGAAAAAGGACTAATTTTGAAAAAATAAATAAATAGAATAGAAATAAATTATAAGCTTCAGAAGTTTGGTGAGAGATTAGTGTTCCTTGGAGCTATTAAATTCTATTTTAGATAGTTATTTAAAGATATTAACGTCCTATTGCGAAGATAAAACGAAATTGTGTGTAGATGGTGCCAATTTTAGCGATCTTAAACTTAGAATTTTGCCATAACTGATACATTAGTGAACACTTATGTAATTATAACACTGTGCAAGTTGACTTTCCACCACTTTACATACACTTTTGACTTCCACACTTTCCTCTCATTTTTTAACAAAAAAAAAAAAAGTATAGTTAAAGTACATATAAACAAGGAGGAAGATGAATTCCAGTATGAAATCCATGTCCAACACTGGTATGTATGGAATTGTTTATCTGACCAATCCTGAAAATTATTCCTGATTGGTAGAAATCCACCGACAAGAATCCGTTACTATGATTCTTTCAAGAACAGATAGTAGTCCTCACATGTGTTAAGCTGTAGATGTGTCCAGGAGAGTATGTTTTGACACAACTTGTTAAGGGGCTCATTTTTAAGGGATTGTGAGGTTTTGGAAGGCACCATATTTTTGTGTTGAACTTTCAAATTCGGGAACAAGGGAAAACGTGTAACAGACCACAGCAAGTGTTATTGTATGTGTATAAACTATATTTTTTATAATATTGCTTTCACTTGCACCGATTTTAAGAAGAGATCAATAAAATTTCTTGGGGGAAGGTGGGGGGGGGCAGTGGAGAGCTTGCGTCATCTCTTTTGAGAAGAATTGGCATCCCTAAGCTGTAGTAATTTCAATAATCAAAAACACAAATAGACTTAGAATAACGTGGGCGGGGTAGCCGAATAGGCTAAAGCGTGTGCACTGCACCGCCGTTGCCTGGCAACCTGACATATGAATTAAAGATATAAAAATAGTCACGAGTTCGCGTCCCGGTGCCGGGGGAGTCTTTTAAATCCCCGCCCACACTCCCTGGCCCGGGAAAATCCCGTATAGCCTTAACGGCGAGGAAGGGAAGGACCAAAAAAAAAAAAAAAAAAAAAAAAAAAAAAAAAAAAAAAAAAAAAAAAAAAAAAAAAAAAAAAAAAAAAAAAAAAAAAAAAAAAAAAAAAAAAAAAAAAAAAAAAAAAAAAGACTTAGAATAACATTATAGATCAGTTAGAAAGTGGAGACGAAGGTACTATAGTCGCACACGTAGCAATTCAGACAAAGAAAATAGCAAGAGATAAATATGAGATATGAAAAGTTAGAATGCGGTGACGTCATGCTGACAAAAACGATGTGGACTAGTGTGTTCAGAGTCCGGACAAGTCCAGGAATTCTAAAGAGTGAGTATTTTATAATATCTCTAATTCATTCTTTCTTTATTTTGTGTTATTTTCAAATTAATTAAAATTCTTTGCATGAAGAATAGTTTCGTCAATCCGATTTGAGTCAACATGAAAAATAAAATGGGTGCATGAAATAAATAAGGTGTCCAGTTATGAATTTCAAGCAGGGAAGATACTATTGTGATTTGTTCTGATTCATTAAGCGCACTCCGAAGTATCAACAACCCCGACTCAAAAGAAGCTCTCGTCGGAAAAAAAATACTGTCTGCTCCACACTTTTAAAACTATGAGCAGAACGGTAGTTTTTATATAGGTACCAAGCCATATTGGCATAAAGGCGAATGGTATGGGAGGTATAACTGCAATTAGACTTGTTAGATAAACTGAAAAGTATTCATCTTTCAAGCACTGAAATTTTGCAGCCAATAGGAGAAGGCATAAGTAGTAAGTGACAAAGCCAATGGGACAAACAAATGCCAAATAAACTTCGATTAGTTAATCCTACCGTCAAGAAGTGGACATGTTCTAGACTATTAATTAGAGAGGAAGTCTAAGAATAGGACACTATCGAATCACTCATGGCTGATAACCATAGATTCAATTTTACCAAATAGTACTAACAGTCACATCAATAGAGGACTGTTTTGAGTACAGCAGAAACCTGGCAAATTTAGACCTTATTCATTCTTTTAACAAGGTGTTAACTGTGTTTGTTTATATAAACAACAATGTCAACATAGTTATGAACTTCAAAAAAGTGACCAGACTATACAGCAAGACATGAAATTATTATCCAGTTCACAAAAAATCGAAGAAAATGGGCGTTGATAACTATTGAAGTATTTGGCCCTTTAACATTAAGAAGGTTGCACAACGCCGAGTTGCGTGAACTGTATCCAGTTAATATAATTGAGATGATTACATCGTGGAGAATCAAATCGGCTTGTAAAATAATTGGACTTGGTACCGAAAGAATTCCTAAAATGTTGATATTTGCTGCACCGACTGGTAAACATCCGAGAGCACAGGCGGATTTACGGGGGGGGGGGCTTTCGGGCTGAAGCCCCTCCCCAAAATGGTAAAATGTAACCATGTTTTATGGTAAAAAATATAAAAAAATTATGTCTTAAAGTATTATTATTCGTTTAATTACATTTAGTAGGGCTTCAAGAATCACTTAAACACCATTTCATATGGGCAGTTAGTATCTTTCTGTTTTTCCAACGTAATTATCGTTATATATATGAAAAAAAAAGCTTCCGGGCTGAAGCCTCCCCCAAAATTAAATCCTGGATCCGCTAGTGTCCGAGAGGTAGACCGAAACAAAGATGGAATGATTGTGTTGAAGCCGATCTGAAGGGACTGGGTTTGGACGGCTAACGGTAGAGGGAAGTGTGTAACAAGCGATTGGTGGTGTCGGTATCGAACCTCCGGATTCGCTGAGCCTTTTATTATTATTATTTATCATTATTATTAAAATTAAGAAAAAAATGAGTTCGGCGACCCGTCGGTCATTTCGGTCCACGCGGTCTTACAATAAATCACACGACTGGATTGATCAGCTTACACAATCCGGCTTCTGTTTGATCAGATTGTAATCAAGCGAAGACAAACCGCATTCTGTTTAACTGAGCTTTTAAGGAAATTGAATTATTTATTTATTTGTGTTTATTGTTGCCTCTACCCTTTAGGGTCATTGGCAACACCTTTTCCATATACTCTATTATAGAAATTTTATAATTTTTAAAAATTTCGAACTTTTTGTCACCCATTGTCAGTGGGGTTTTCTTTTAGGGTCTGAGCCATATCTAATTGTTTTGTTATATTTGTAAATACTGGACAGTGGGGAGGAAGGGGGGAGGGAGAAGGCCTTTGGGGCTGAAGTGCTCCCCAAAATGGTAAAATATAGCCATGTTTTATGGAAAACAAATATTAAAAAATTATTTCTTAAAGTATTATTGTTCGTCTAATTACATTTAAAAGGAATATAGGAATATAGGAATGTATCACTTTAACACCATTTCATATAGGTGGTTAGTTTCTTTCTTTTTTTCCAAAGTAATTATCGTTATTTTTATGAAAAAAAAAGCTTTCGGGCTGAAACTCCTTCCCCTCCCCAAAATTAAATCCTGGATCCGCTTGTGTTCCAGTCCTATTAATAAATATGCATGTATTAATTCACAATGCCCAATTCTTAATCGGCACAGGACTGCATTTTCATTCCTATAGAGTTGGTTACAGGTTTTTCATTTGGAACAGTGGTTTTTTATTTATTTTAATTTAGCTTCTTTTGTTATCATCTGTTCTGCCACACGTTTTCTTGATATGTTGTAAAATATTTTCTATGGGGATTTTGTTAATTATAACAGCCGGATTTCTTTCTCGTCAGCTTAACATATTTGCTGCTTTATCTACCTGTTGATTTCCGACGATTCCACAGAGTGAAGAGGCCCGGAAGAACTTTATTCCCTTTTCCTTTTCTTTTAGTTTCTACAAAATATTTCTAATAACTCTCGCTAGCGTGGTAATCGGCTTTTTATTTCCGATGGCACAAGAATTGCACTCTTTGAGTCCGTTACCAGGGCCCAATCGTTACTATCGGTTTTCTCAATATTCGTTAAGGCTTCTCTTATTGCAATCATCTCTCCAAGAAACGCAGAGCAGATCTCTGGAAGTTTGAAATACTTTTGTATTTGAGAATTTATAATAGCGCATCCTACTTCACTGTTTACTTTTGAAGCATCAGTATATATCATATTGTGCTTTCTGTGTTTTTTCATTATTTCAAGGAATACGTTTTGTTCTTCAATAAGGATTAGTTTATCTTTTCGACAGCTAGCCATTGAGCTAGCCATCGCTCTATAACTGGCGAATTATGGATCCATGAGGAGATAATAATGTCCGGCACATCAAAAACAGTTTCTAATTTTAATTCCGAAACATTTTCGAGACATGTTTCCACGAATTTTTCCCCATCAGATAACAATCTGCGAGATGGAATAATTATTGCAAAGAATTGATGTTTCAAATCTCGCTAAATGCATGATTTAAGAATCATCTTCTAGGTAATGAGGGGATATACTCAAAGCTTTATTTATATTTTTTTCTTGTCTCTTGTCAAAAACTAGACACAGCTCTTCAATTGATTGAAAACTAAAAAAATATTCCATCAAATGTACATGGCAGAAGAATTGGCAAGTGTTTTATAATTCTATGGTCGCTAATAAATGAGGAAATCATTCTGTCTGACTCTTTCTAAAGACAAAGACCAATAAAACACTTTAACGGCCGCGTACGGCTGCGGGTAGAGAAGCACCTCGAAGATTTTGAAATGACGGAAAAGGTAAAAAAAAAAATTTCGATTTTTATTTGAGCAGGATCTGTATATAATAATAAACGAAAAAACCTTGATCAGTCGTTTCATTGATTGGCAAGATCCTAAACTCTCTGCTGAGTTCATCGATGGAATTGTTTCACCCACTTTAGGGACTGAACCGAAGCCATCGATGAGCTAAGCGCTGAGAATATGAATGTGCCCAATGCGGGGTTAATTTGTATCGATAGACATGTGTTTTCTTTGAGGGAAGGTTCGTATAGGCAGGTTAGTTTACATCCAAAATTTTGACCAAGAGATTAAGTGAATTGTTTTGGGGTCATGAAGAAATTATTTGGAACTTTAAGGAACCATTGGAAGAAATCAACATTAGGGGTTGCAGTATTGGCATATGGGATAAATTATGGGTTGAACTCATTTGAGTAAGTATTATACATAGTGTAACCTTTTATAATTCTTTTACATTACTGACTATTTCAAAATTTTAAAACAATTTAGACTAGGTTCAATGATGAGAACAGTCTGTGCCGAAGCAGTTAAACACGGTGACAGACCAATCTCAGATGGTAAACCTCGCCGCATCACCGTAATTCTCAATCCAGCCTCCAATAACAGGTCCAATTTTTAATTTTACTATTTAATATATTTTTAATTTATGTGATTTATATTGTAATAGTTGAAATATCTTACATTTTAGGAAATCCAAGAAAAATTTTGAGAATTACTGTGCTCCTTTATTATATCTTTCAGGAGTTTATGTTTCTGTTATTGAAACAGAAAGAGAAGGCCATGGCCGAGACATCATTAAAAAAATTGATCCGAAGACAGATGCTGTGATTGTTGCTGGAGGAGATGGAACTTTATCAGAGGTTTATACCAATTATTATCATTATAGTATTATGAAATTTGTGTCTTTCATTTCAAAATTTATAAAAAGAAACATGGTCATAATTGAGGAAAGGAAAAGAAATATAGAAGTAAAACAAATTATATAACAATAATAGACAAGAATTCTGTATTATTGAGTAAACTACTGTAAAAATAATTCATGTTCTTATGATAAAAATTAAAATTCAGTCAGTATGTAACAATACATTTTTATTTATCTTTTTTCCAGATAATAACCGGATTAATGAGATATAAAGGTGAACTGTGTAAAATACCAATTGGTGTGCTTCCTCTAGGGAAAACGAATACTCTTGCTAAACGATTATATGGTGTCGAAGACTGTGTTTCATATACAGGAATGGTAAATGCAACAATGGCAATAATCAAAGGGAATACTAAAACTATTGATGCTTTCAGAATAGAACTTTTACAGGTAACTTTTATATAAGAAACAATTATAAAGACAAATAATAATAAGAAAAAACTTGGTATCACCTAAATTTCACTTATCATCTTTCTTTGAATAGAAATATGTAGAGAAATGAAAGTAAAAATTATAGTTAGTGTAACATTCATTAAAACAATTAATCACAGTTTTATTTTTATCACTCATCTAATCTGTTAAAAATTATACCTTTCTTTGTCACTTTCTCTTTCCTTCTACGACAGTATATTTTAATTGTTTATTAAATTATAAGGATGCCACATATATTTTTTTTAGTCCAACAAAAGTGCCAAAATTGCGAAATTTCTTAAACTCATTAAAGGTGTCATGGCAAAAAACATTAGAACTGCTGATCTATAATATAGTACATAGGAAGGAAACGAACTCTGTTAGAGCCCAAGCATTTCTTACTTATGGAGGAGAGCATATTATACACCTACAGAAACAGTTGTGAAGTCTTGAATATGCCTGAGTGCTCTTAGAGCCTTGTTTGGTTCTTAGACCCATCAGGCTGACCATTATTTTTCATTTAATTAATTATTAAATCCTTTTTTAGTTTACATTTAAATATTTTTTATAACTAGTTTAATTATTTTAAATTAACAAAATCAATAGAGCAGGAATTTTGAGAATTTGATTTTTAAATGCTGACAGCCTGTTTCAATAAGGATTATACTGCCTGATATTGAAGACTGCTTTATTTTACACTGATATAACATATATCAAATTTTGTTGTTGATTATTAAAAGTACTAAACTTTATTTTTTTAGTACTTTATATTTTATGCCTTATTATCACTTAAGAGAAGATTGCCTAAGTGGCCGTCAGGACCAACTCTAAAAAAAATAATAAACATCTATTTATTTAATTTTGACACTGAAATGGCTACTCTTAGGGCCATCTTCTAGTTTATTATTTTAATAAATAAAATGAAATTTGTTAGAGCACGGAAGTAGAAGCAAGACCTCCTGTTTATGGAGTTAGTGGAATCGAATGGGGTTTGTGGCGCCATGTAAAAAAGCAAAAGGATGCTTTCTGGTATCTTGGGCCGTTTGGAAAATATGCCCCTCTCATATTTCATGGGAATGCTTTAGAAAAGGAAGTTACGGCAAAAGTTCGATACACCAAACCTTGCTCTGGTTGTTCCGACTGCTACTCTCAGGTATTTTAATAATCATAAATATATTTCAAATACTTATGTTTTAATTATAACAGAATTGTATAATATTTAGTTCAAAATAAGGAATAATTTTTTATCAAATTTATAAATTATCTTATGTAGTATTGTATTATATTAGTATTATTATATAAATTATCCTATATAACTATCAAGGAATTACATTCCATCCGATTCTTTATATAAAATGTTTACTTTGATCTTAACAAGTCAATTCACAGAATACGCCGAGAAAATTATCGGTGACTACCAATAAGGATTTAGACAGAATCGTTCAACTATTGATCTAATATTTTCTTTACAGCAAATATTGGAGAAAAAATTAGAGTACAATATCGACTTTAAAAAGGCTTACGATTCTATTGACTGCCAGAAACTGTATAATATTCTAATTTATCAGGAGATTCCTAAGAAATTAATAAATCTATTCAGGATTTGCTTGACAAAAAATCTCAATAAAGTTAAAATCGGTAATAATTTATCCGAAAAGTTTGAGGTTCGTTCGGGTTTGAAACAGCGTGATTCCCTTTCGCCTGTTCTGTTCAATTTGCCATTAGAACATGCCATTAGAGAGGTAATTCGTACCGAAAAAGGGTTGGATCTGGGTGGGACAACACCCGTGCTTGGGTATGCAGATGATCTGGCCCTTTTAAGCGAAGACACGGAAACTATAAAACTAAATACGACAACGTTAATGAAAGCCGGTAAAGAACTAGGGCTTGAAATAAATGTGGATAAAACAAAATATATGGTTAGCTGCAAAAATGGTGATACTGCTAGTGATATCGATATCAAAGGTAATATGTTTGAACAGGTAGAGAAGTTTAAGTATCTTGGGTCTATGGTAACTAGAAAAAACGAAATTGAAGAGGAGATTAAGGTTAGGCTGAAGGCGGGAAACGCTTGTTATTTTTCTGTGACAAAACTACTTAGCTCGCGCCGCTTGTTCGGCAATTTGAAAACTAAAATCTATAAAACCATTATCTTACCTACAGTTCTTTATGGATATGAAATGTGGCTGCTTACATTAAAGGATGAGCAACGTCTTAAGGTTTTTGAAAATAAAGTATTGTGTAGAATATTCGTACCGAAGAAGGATGAGTTAACCGGAGAGTTCAGAAGGTTGCATAACGCCGAGTTGTGTGAGCTGTACCCAGTTAATATAATTGAGGTGATTTCATTGTGGCGAATTAAATGGGCTTAGTAACGAAAGAATTCCTAAAAGATTTATATTTGCTGTACCGAATGGTAAAAGTCCGAGAAGTAGACTGAAACGAAGGTGGGATGATTGCATTAAGTCGATCAGAAGGGACTGGGTTTGGACGGCGAACTGTGGAGGGAGGTGTGTAATAAACGATTGGTGATGTCGGTATCGAACCTGTGGGTTCCCTAAGCCTTTTATTATTATTATGTAAGTAATGTCTTCTTAGTTTTAATGTAATATCAAACATTTCTAGTTTATAATAATGCATTGATGGTTGACTGTAGGGAATAATTGAAAAGAAGTTGGTTGGGCTTTTTTTGACACTCATACCAATTTCTCCTCGATTTTCTAGTTTATATTTAAAAATATAAGAAATGAAGTTTCTGAATGCCTTTCAATAATATTAACCACTTATCTTTTATGAATATCAATTAAAATATGTATATTTTTATTCTTATATTGTTATTCTTATAACAATATTCTTATTCTTAAGGAACCTAGTCCAAGAATAAAGATGATTTTCTATTCTATTCTACAATTGCTGCATCTTTTACTTATAAGTTAATTAATTGTTTATCTATTGCAGAGACCAGATCTTATGCTTCAATCTTCTTCTCAGCAACAAGTCGGTTCCAGATGGTGGAATGTGCTATCACTTAAAAATAGACGTCTTCAAAATCAAGGTTTTTTTTTTTTTTTCTAAATTAAACACATTGATACTGCTTTATAAAACGTCCATTTTTCTGCTTTGTTTTCTTATTTTTGATTGGGTTCTTACATAAAAAACAAATGAAAATTTAAATTTGAGCTGCAGTAGAAATATGTTAATACCATCGAGGATATTTGAAGGGTTCAATCATGCTTGGTTAATTATCAATTTCAGTCTTGTTTTCTCCATTTTTTTGGCTAAACATTATTTTGCAATGTACAGTCTAGTTCAGTTACTAAATATAGTTTATTTGAGTTAGGTAATTATTATGATACTGTGATAATAAGAGTTTGTTTATTATGTCTGTAATTAAGTAGTTATTTGATTTATTATTACTATTTCAGGAATGCAGGCTGTTGATTACAGTAAAATTACCAATCCAGAATGTAGCAGAATTGAAGAAATATCTGTAAAAACGTCTGACTTGTCTGTCGTAACTTCAAATGATCCATTTGTTGATCTTAACAAAGAAAAACCCCATCTGCTTCTTTCTATAGGTAATATAAATATTCAATGTTAATTTTTATTTTACCACTAACTTAATATTACTATAAATTGTTGCAGGATTATCCATCATATAACACTTTCTGTTTGATATCTAAAGATTTGTTTTTTTCATTACAAAGCATGCTCTGAATCATATTAGTTTTTTTTTTTTTTTTTTAAATTCCAACGTATAAGAAGGTTAAGAAGTTGTGGGATACCAATAGCTGTAATTGTTATTTTGGTCTCCATCCCATTATGGGGTTAAAGGGAACAAAAAGCAGATATCGCTTCTCGGATAACCCGAATTGGCGAGAGCAGTGAAATAAAAATCCTAAATTGTGTTCCTTGGCAAGATTGGGCAAGGAATTTTAAATTGTAGCTGGTGAACCAATGGTGTGCCCTGGAGAAGCTGCCTCTTGAAACTACTGCCGATAAAATAAAACATATGAAAATGGAGCACAGCTGCAGAGGTTCTAAGTGGGAGAAAATAATATGGTGCCGTCTCAGGATTGGCCATTGTTATCTCATGGATATCTCCTCGTCTGGAAGCCCCTATCTGTGTCGAGTGTGGTGCTGCTAGAAAACTCACCCTCTTTCTGATTGAGTGCCAGCAGCATGCACCAATAAGAAAAAATTGAAGTTGAGTTTCAATATAAGAGAAATCCTAGAAGACTTGGAAACTCCAATCTCTTATGAAATTCTTAAAAGAAATCAAGTTTTACCACCGAGTGTAGAAATATAAGAAATGCCAATGACCCTTTGGGATAGAGGCATTATCACAAAAAAAACTGTGTTCAATAGTTTCATTTTTAAGTTAATTTTTTTGTAAAATGTTTTAAACGATATATAGTGATCTTTTAATCACCAAATCAGGTGCGGAAATAAATTTTGATTAGAATGGAATATTTTTTAAAGCAAAGTCTGTGTTACTTTATTATGTATGTATTTATTTTCTTTTTATTATTTAAGAATATATATTTTTATTTCTGTTGGCTTCACACACCTTGAAGATCTTTGCCCATATGACCTAGCCTTCTCCACCTCTGCCTTTCTCAGGCTACTGCTTTCTAGTTTTCTGCATGCTTCATCCTTGTTTATTCTATCTATCCATTGCCAACTATTGTAGCGTTCATTATTGTATCGAACTTCAAGCTACATTCCCAACCCCCATCTTGACCTCATATTATGAGGATAAAGAATAATGATTTTTTATGAGCGTTCCTTTATTGGTCTTTCTCCTCCATATTTTAGTTACCACACTGATCCCAGATTGCTCCGGTTTTTGTGAGGAGGACTTTCCTTTCAAATCTTTTAGTTCTTCTTTCTAGGGTGCTGCTTACTATCCAGATCTAGCTGCTATATATATATCAGAACTAGCTTTATTACATAATCGTATACAATTAATTTAAAATTTTGAAAGAATTTTATTACCAAAAAGAGAGAAGAAAAAAAGCTTTATTTGTATTTGTTATATGTTTGTCTATCTTGGTAATTAATCATTTATTGCGACAAGATCCAAATGCTTGCAAATATTTGAACATGATTTCTATCACATCAAGGGTTTAGGTTACCTATACTTTTTAAAATATTTACTGAAAAAGAATATTTAGTAAAATTATTTAAATTAAGCTTTAGATATTATTTCATTTGAAATTGAAAAACTTGCTTTTATAGATGCATATTAATAGTCTATTTTTATTCCAGCTCCAAAAACAAAATATCAGGGCCAACTTCTGTTCGATGGTTACAAATTCTTGAATGAAGGAAAACCATCGATAGGAAAAATAGAAATGAAACAACTTGAAATAAGACCTGAGACAGCGAAAACAGAAGTAAGTTTAAAATTTTAAAGTACAATAACTTCTATATTATAAAGTTATAGCTCCAAATGTGCTGCGTTTTTTTTTTTTTAGTTCACTTCAATTTAAGGTTCTTAAAGTTAGCCAGTTTATGATTACACAATTACTATAAAATTTTTAAATACTATTTCCTGAAATTCATTCAAAATCTGTGTATAATAAATATAACTTACAGAGGTACTAGTCATATATGTGTTCTCTATGTCTAAGGTTTTATTTAATTTATTATATGTCTTTTTTTAAAAACAGGTGAGGATTATACTGTTTAAATTTTTAATCCTATATATATATATATATATATATATATATATATTTTTTTTTTTTGCAAAAAGTCACTAAGTACATTTTTGATGTATGTACACGTTTTATGAGAATGTTTTTGTTTATATTGACCTTATTTATTGATCTAAAATGACGATAAGCATATCACAATGACACAAAATCTTTTGTATATTGAAAATAGTTATACACATAGCACAATGTTCTGATTTTATACAAAATAAAATTCAGTAAAGTTATTTATGATTAAATTTTCTGAAATATTATTTAATGACTTTTTGCAATAAATCCATGATATGCTCTAATTTGACCTCTTTATTTGTGTCTCATTATAAAACTATGGTGACGTAGAAGTTTTGATTTATACAGCATTATATTGCTTGTTGGGATTTAACACCATTCTGAAATTAAAATCAAATCACTCAGGCTAGATTTGAGCTGGACCTATTTTTTAGAATGAGGTTGTTAAGCAAGCTCATTGAATAATAAATTATATATAAAAAATATATTTTATTTTAAACCAGTATCGTGTTTCACTGAATTTTATTCAGCCATATGTGTGCTTGATAATTTATAAATATATTAAATAAATATACACACATTAAAATTTCCTTTCCTTTTGACTCTAAAATGAATAACATCGTGAAAATGTTGTAATTTATTGGATTTAATGTCGTTTTAATAGATAGAGTAGGAAGGATACTATAGGTTACCAACATAATTTTACACCATTGTGAGAAGGTGGATTTTTATGAGTCTGCAATAAGACAAGTTAATTCCCCCAACCTGATTTGGACTGATGTCAGAGTTTAGTCTTTTAACTAGAGAATGGTTTAAGACTATAAATTATATTTTAGGATAATTTAGCTGTCTAACAATTATCTTTAATTATATATTCCGTTTTTTTTTTTTAGGGCGATGAAGAAAATCTTTCTATAGACAATGAAGACTTCGAAGTTCGGCCAATAAGGGTCACTGTGTTACCAAATGCAGTCAATGTGTTTTGTCCATAGTTATTTATTACTATTTAAAAAAATTAAGATTATAAAAAATATAAATAATTTTAAATTAATATTTGTTTCATTATAATGAAGTTATGTGTATATATCCAGTAACTAATTCTGTTTGTAAAGAGATATCGAAATTTGTCTGAAAATATTTGTAGAATAGTCATTGTATATCATCTTACAATTTTTAGATAATAGACAATATCATATATAATCAAGTGTAATGTTATCTTAATTTTGAAAAGTATTGCCATTGATGAGGCATAATTTTTAAGTTATTGTTCTAAATTACATATTTGACTAATTCTTGACAATTAGTGATCTGTTTAGGAAGTACTTGTTAAATATGTAGTGTATTGCTCTGTTCTCTATCTTTTTGATTTTCAGGGATAGGTTTAATACATATTTGTAGTACACTATTTTAGTGTATATAATTTCTGTTCAAAGATCAGTTTTTCCATATTTTTTTTATTTTGTTATGTACATTGTATATATATATAAAATATATAAAGACTTTAAAAAAAAAATTATATGTATAGCTGCTTATATATTTATTTCCTAAAATTCTAAGTTACTAGTTGGCCCATGCGAATAATTTGCAGAATATATTTAGTGAAGGAACAACGAACTAATATAGAAATGAGTAGATCTTATGTACTATGCGAGGAAGGAATTAATTGTTTTCCTTGTTCGAATACAATATTTCATTTAACATAATAGACCAATTATTTGTACAAATTACTTTTCTAGGGTCTATTTTTAAATGCTGAATATTACCTTTCATATTCAAAATAAGGCCTCGATCATGGGATTTTTAAATTCTTAAAAAATATAAAATGTACAAAAAAAATGCCTTTAAGAAATTATAAAGAATATATCAGTCAGAAAAAAAAAAGTAGTAGAATATAAAATGCAGTATCTTCGACGAAGGAATAAATTATTATGTATAACAAATCTAATGGACCGTATCTTCGTTAACAATGGTCTGATTTTAACTTTTTTTTTTGTGTTTTGTAGAGGATTTAGTAAATTTTCAAACAATCTTGGATCTCATCAAGAAAAACTGTATACTTTTTAAGTTATTCGCAAATAAAGTTTCTTTTCATTCATAAATTTTATTTTTTGGCATTTAGATTTTATGCGAAATCCTATTTTGCCATGATTTTTTTCGGGTGGATGTTACTATGATTTGTCACTGCTCCATTTTATACCCTTTTGTTTGATACCTCATTCATAAAAATCCATTGCTCCTGAGAGTTGGAAAAGGGATTGTTACTGCGAAAAACTATTGTATTATGTACAAAGATAGATTGTTAAGTGATTGGTTATTTTGTTTTCTAAGTTTATGATAGAGATAGGTAAAGATATACTGACCCATGATTTAAGTGTAGGATGTCTGTTCTGTTCTAGAATAAAAATCTTTGAAAGAAATCTACTATTCTTGAAAGTTTAAGCATATTATTGGTTTGATATATAGTTGTATTTTATTTCTATTTTTTTAGGGAACAGGATGGGTAAGCAAATTGAACTTAAGCAATGTCAGGCGTGGTTAGTGAATGGGTTACTCCATGGGAGAACAAAATCATCAGTAACATAGAGTAACAGTCATCTCTGCTGTTAAAATAATAAACCTGAAGGTACATAAACAATTAACATACAGAGGACGGGATGGTTGAGCATGTTGGCGCGTCAGTTTCAGAATGCTCAGTTCTGAACGTTGTACGTACAATCCTCCCCTGGATCTGTTAATTTTCATTTCTCTCGGTTGCTGCAGGATATGAATCTTGACATTCTCACTCTAGTAAGAATGCCGCGGCAACCTCGGTAGCAGTCAGGTGTTGGCAAAAAGGATCAGATGGCCCACTTGCCTAATTCTCCCCACCAGCACCAATGCCAGTCCATAAATAATTTAATATTGTATAGAGATGATCCGTCCGTCATCACTTAAATTAATTTTAAAACAGCCATAGGTCAACCCAAACATTTTTTATATGATAAAAATATAACTATCCATATATAAAATATAACTGTATATAAATATACAATACTTTGCAGAGATGAGGAATACTGAGACTATCTGCCTATCTGAGCTCTTGCGAGCAATGGCTAAAAGAAAACCACATCGTATAGCCAGATTTTCTCAGTCTGTAGTGTAAAAAATAAATTTAATTACAAGGATTTCCAAAAATTATATATTTCTAATGTATCAAATATTTTTTAAGGAATCCTTTTGTGGAACGAAAACCAGTTCTTGGATTTACTAAAAATAATTTGAGGATAAGCAGAAAGAATATTTAATTAATTAGTCAACCGAAAACAATAATTTAAGGGCACAGGAACAGAATTTTTTGAAAATGTCCTCTAAATTTCTTTCCAAATTAACTTTTAACCAAATATTTGATTATAAAATAAAATAAATAATAAAACACCAATTAAGTAGAAATGTTTTATCAGAGTATTATATTGTTACATTGGTATATTTAATTTTGTTTACTTATAATATTCACCATACAAATGTGTTTTTTTTTAATGCCAATGGGCAAGAAACTAAAATCATAAAAAAAAGTCTTTATTATTATAAACAAAATATACAATTAAAAATAAAATCAGGAATAAAAAAAAATTCTTATTTTATAAGAGATTAGATTTTTACCTATAAGTATAAATATTATACAAAGTAAACATTTATTACAATAAATGCAACTATTTCAAATGAAATAAGAATAAATAAATAAACGCTACGTTTACCAATAATTTTGAAATTTCAAATCCTGTCTTATTAATTTGTAATCATACAAATTTGAGCAAGTTGTTTTATAATTCTCCATGTTGCCTGGAAGAAAGTCTAGGACCTTTTGGAATAAGCTTCTTCTTTTTAACTTTTTTTGGTTTTTCTGGAATCACTTCTTCAGGGGGAGGGTTGTTAACTTTTCGGTAAGGATTCACATAGTTTGGTTTTCGATCAGTGTAATTCATCTCTTGGTTAACCTTTGAACAATAACAATAACTGAAGTTAATAAAGTGTTAACAAAAAAAATATATTTAGATTTTTGGAGCAGTTTTTGTTTGAATTCTATATAATGAGCACATACAACCTAGCCATCATTTGTCACCAGTCAATTTTATATTGTATTGTACAAGATAAATGTTAAAAAAATATTAGAGGTTTTGAGAAACGTTAATTCATGTCTCATGAAATTATATGAAGTTTCAAAGGGGATGGGATATTATATTTACATTTGAAATAAACGTATGCCCGTAAAACAAAAAAAATTAAAATATTGGTAGTTCAATGATTTGTTCATTTGTTCATTTAGGGGAATTCTTAAGGTATTTTTATGTATATTCATTGTATAATTTAAATCTTCAAGCTCTGACAAACGCCAAATTGACAACACTGAAGAACAAATGATAAAATGCATTCCTGATTGATAAGTAGAAGGTATAAAAAATCGGGTCCAGCACACATCACACAACTTTCCAAACTTATTAAATTTCTTCTCAAATAGCACTAATTAATTATTTAAATATATTATTATGACTGAAGTTATTAGAGATTAATGCCATAATATTTTATCAACTTGTAAACACTCTTTGAAATATTTATAGCAGCATTCACTGCTCCCACAAATGTACTATAAATTAATTTTTAAACAATTTCAAAACGACAATTTGTTGCATAAGATATTTTTGCGATATAAAATCAATGGTATAAAGTGCCATTTCCATTAAGTTAATATCAGGGGGGAAAATATGTTAAATCTCAGACATATACATTCTTTAAACATGTAATTTCAGTTTTATATTACTTTTGATTGTTGAGGTAGGCTGTTCGTTTAGACACACACATGTACACAGAGACCATTTTGGGAGTTTACCATTACTACTAGATGCATAAGATATAGAATTTATCATATGTGTGAAACAATCTTGCCAAGTAATACTTACTAAATTTAAGAGTGTGATAGTTTTACTATCAAGAAGTTGGCTTTTGTTGGAAAAGATCAAGCTCCATTTGAAAAGCTCATTCCATTCAGTATTGTTTACGATAACTTGTTGACTAAAGTCTGGTAGTCTCAAAATTATATCTCCTAAAAATGCAGTGTTTTCCAAAATATTGGAAAGGGCTGGAAACAAGAAAAGAAAAATAGTTTCAAACAATTCAGAAGAAAATTGACTGTTATAAATAAAAAATAACATAAATAAACTAACCATCCCTAATATTTTCCTCTGATGGAAAGCTTGATTCTCCAGGAACAAAGTTAGCCTTATCAAGAATATGTCGGCTTTTGTTTAGCACCTAAACCACAATAATCAATTTTAAAGATGATAATCATGTTATTAATTAGAAAGAAAACATCATATAAATAAAATGTCTTTTAGTAAGTTATTCGAATTAAGTGAAATGTTACATGCAGATGAAAAATACTTTAATTCATCAACTATGTATTTTAAAAGAGAAAAAATATCTTCTAGTCTAGTAAGTACATAACTATTCCTATATTGAATTTGACAGAAAACTATAAGATTCTGTATTAGATTTATATTATGTTCTTTGTACAAGAACTTAAGAAAATCATTAAAAAATAAAAAATCTATTAAAAATGATACTTACACTATATTATGCTAATGATACTTATACTTATATACATTACTAATATATTTTATAATAGAATAAGTAACATTTTTAAATTATTTCTCTGGGTTGTATAGGATTTTTTGTTTTTTTATTTGGGAGGAATAAGTTTAAAAATATTAAATAACTACTTAATAAAATATAATAAATGAAAATGTATATCAGGCAAATAATTTATAAAAGTTTTGAAATGTTTGGCCATTTTGACCAATAAAACGTAATATGAAACCGATGATAAATAAATACTAAATATAAATTTATGAATTCGACACAGTTATTTACACATATTTCCTTTTCTAATTTTTAAAAGTCAATTAGCAAACACTCTATATAAAAAACATATCCCTAGTCTGAATGCAACTCCATTAAAATCTTCCTATAGTTATTTCTTCTGTTTTAAAATCTTTCATTACTTTTTTTCACTTTCATAAGTATTTCTCCGTCACCAGGACCAACTTACATCTAGCAGTCTCCATATTATTTCTTTGATTCTATTATATACATGTACTGTACATATTTTTTAAAATTACATACTAGACTAGGACAGTTTTAACATTATTTTTTACTTTGTTATAAGAGGATGTGATGAAGGCTGAGCAGTTTGGAGCATGGGTTCAATTCCCATCTGGGTGGGTAAAATTTATTTCTAGGCGACCCTGAGAAATGAATCTTGAAACTGCCACTCTAGTAAGTACATGGTGGCAACCGCAAGGTAGCAGTCAGAAGATGGCAAAACGGGCCATAAGGCTTACTTGCCGGTCTAGTTTTGCCCACTAGTACCAGTACTTATCACATAACTTGTACTAATAATTAAGATTCTAAATAACATGAAGACTGGTAAATATTAGTTGGTTGTAGATGGTTACGATGATTGGGAAATATCCCAGAACATTGAACAAGTAATCTGAAACTCTATAAATATAGGAAGATATATTATCCACAACATCTATAAAACATAATCATTCATCATGGACAAAAACAAACAGTTTAATTGATTAATTATGATCATTCACATACACTAAATACTCTGTCTGCAATTGCTTCAACCATTTTGGTCTGTTTTATTTCAGTTCCTAATTTCAACAGAGCTTTGATGGCTGCTGCTTGCTCAGTTCTTTCTAATTTATACAGTCTTCGAACTATAATTTTTAAGGTAAAAATTTAGTAAAGCTGAATAGTAACTACTATTGAATATTACCAAGAAAGTGTAAGCTATTCTATAGTTACAAAACAAAAAATGTCTAGTTTTTGTAATAAAAAGGATACATAAGTCTTCAGCACTTTTTGAATCACTTTTTGGTTCATTTTTTTCAGTTAAAGCTGTGTGGAATGTTACGAAAATAATAACCATACAAAAACTAACAATAGATTTTAAATTAATTTTAAAATCGAGAACCATAACTACAAGACGATTCAGGACATGTTATTCAAAGGCATAATTATTAAATATTGAGTTAAAAATATATAAAATCAGTAAATTCAATATTTTTAAAATTAAGTAAGAGACTTAAAAAACCTAATCCACATGGTTGCCGAGATTGCTTATCACTATAACAGCTGTCACGTTATCAGCTGTATTGGCTGAGAATCCGTTGGTCATCAGCTCTCAAGGGATTTTCATTGTTTATTTGTTTACGTTTTCTGGTTTGAAGAAAAGTATCTAATGCTATTTTAATGTGTCCTTTTCCTCATGATGACTTGCCAATTTGAAAAGATTGCCAGTATTTTAGAATTAGAAAAAGTCAAAACGTGTTTGTTTATTCAAGAGCCCTCAGATAACTCAGATGGTATGTTTTTTTATTTTTAAATGATTCCCTGTTTAATTATTGAAAATATACGCATAAAATATATTAATTTTGAGTTTTTCAAAATTTGAATGTCTTTGTGATAGTTAGGTATGTTCATCATTAAGAAACAAAGTCACTTTGAGTTAAGCATTGTATCTTTTTATTGTGACATCAGTGTTTTAATTTTTCTAGATTTTATTTGATTATTTACATCTCTGGTAATGAATCTGGGGGTAACTAACTTTTCTTTAAACTTTTTTTGTGTAACATATTGTGTCATCCACTTTTAGAAACAAAGCGTAATTCCTTTGAACTATCCAGTTAAAATTTATCTTATTTAGTTTCCTTTATCTGAACCATATAAATTATTATTTTTTAAAAGACATGGATAATGGTAAACAGTAATGTTATAAACAAGATATGTATTTGAGACATGGTATCAGCTATTGTGGTTGTAGCTTAATGTAGCTTCTCAAGTCTTTAAGGTCATAGAGATGTTGACTAATGTAATACAAAGAGTTTAAATTTGTTGTTTTTTTAATCACAATTTACTACCTGATCAATCACAAAATAAATAATTATTTTGATTATACATTCATAGTCAACCATTATCCATTTGAAGTAATATCAACATAAGATTTAATTTTAAAAATAATTTTATATATATATATATATATATATATATATATATATATATATATATATATATATATATGTATAAAGTCGAACAGCTGTGTATGGAACATAAGGGTTCTTCCAAAAAAAATACAACGCTAAATAGAAAGATTACAATATTTTATCCATGTCATATAAAAACAGTTGAAGGATTTGTTGCAAAAACAATGGAGGCTGATCCAATTTTTCAAGTTTTCGGAAAACTTTGAAAAACATTTGAAGATTCGAAATTCTAATTTTTGATCAATTTTTTTTTAACATCAGTATTTTCTATCAAAAATATAATTTCCAGACAATGTAATAACAAGTTTTGATTGTTTGAGCTAACTTTAGCTATAAAGTAGATGTTCTATCTGATTTTGGGAAATCAATTATACAAAATAGAAAAAAAAATTATTACGTTTTCTTTATTTAAACTTGTAAATGAAATACAATATATATTGCTTACTATAGAAATTTAACAACAATATTTTTTAATTTTAACATTTTTCCACTTGGCCTCATATGTGCCTTGTGTTTTGAAAAATTTATTAGTTCTAATAAAAACTTAAGGTTCCGTGAAATAAGAATCAAAGAGGATATATGGTTATACAGATGTTCAACTTTTTTTAAAAATATGTTGAATGTACCATTGCTCCTATACTTTTTGTTCATGGACTGGATTTTAATTATTTTTCTAATGAGCTTTTTGGTTTAAGTTGATATAAAATAATTAGTTAAGTTATTCTCTATAATTTATTAAGAACAATATAAAAAAAAATATTTTCTCCAACTTTCATTTTTTATTTTCTTTCTTCTTTTTTTTTAGATTTTGAAGATGAATCATGGAATTGGTCAGTTGAAGAAACTGTAACATCAAAAGAAAATTGGTTAGAAGAATGTGAAATATCTTTATCTCCTACAAGCGAGCTCCTTGTTTTATCTCATGAAAAGAATCTTGTCATATTAAAAGGTTTTTCTTTGTTTATTTTTAAACAAACTTTATTTGTTTCAAGTATACAGTTATTAGTTAGTTACAAAATAACAATTACTTTGTTCCATTGAAATTGTTGATAACTTATTTTTATTTATTTTAGCAAAATGGGATTCAGATGGAGAAAATGGTGGTGACAAGATCAAGTATTTGTTGTCTTGGCATGGAGATTTGTCCTTAGATCCCAGGTATTTATTTTACATATTGTTTGAAATAATCTGCAGAATTACAGACTAAAATTTATTTCACCAACTATTTTTTTTTTCTGTTTGTATATCTCACCATCCAACAGTTTTTAAAAAACTTATTGATATATGTAAGATAAAAATTAACTGTTAATAGCTGCCAAAGTGCTCTCCCATGGTGGCGGGTACAAGATCACATTCTTTTTCAGAACCTTTTTTAGAAATAAATTATGGAAGATATTTTATGATGAACTGAAAAAGAATCCATATTTGCTGATAAGGATCCCTACTTAGTAAGGTTCCAACCTAAACTGAAAAGAATCTTGATGGCAAACCATCGAACTCCGCTCATTCGAGAGATAATTTTGATTATCTCTCGAATTAGCGGAAGTCAACAGTTCTGATAATATTAAAGCAGTAATAATTTTAATAATCAGTAATTACCTCTAGTAGAGTATAACCTATCTCAACCTAAACCTTCTGTATTAGTAAAGGCAAGCCTGTCATTGCATATAAACATGATTGTCAACACTCCACTACTTGTTTGATTCCATCTACAATGTGATCTTGTACCAAGTTGTAATGTTGGAGTAGCATTTTGGAACTATTATCATTGTCATTTTATGAGAAAACTATATGGCAAGTTTCAAAGCTCTTCAAAACAGAACTTAGGAACTTACCTTATTTATGATAAACAACCTTATTCAGGTTATTCATTTTTTGTGAGATTTTTGTGTAACTATCATATTTAATCAATATATGATCAAGTTTAAAAAAAAAATTTAATCTCACACATTTTATTTTATAATTAAAACATCTTTAATTTAACAGGAATTGTTATATTATGTTTTGGCACTATATTATCAAAGAAAAATGCATGTCAAAAAACTTTTAACTTATTTTCTTTCCTTTTCACTACCATTTTCATTTTATTCTTAATAAGCTATAGTCTAGACTGATTTAATACAATATCAGGGATATTGTAACCCCTCTATAGAGTTTAATTTTAATTTATTATGTTTATCAGTTTTAAGAATAAACATTATCTATTTAACTTTTTGAAAAGCTCTGCGTAGTTTTGGCTAATGTTTCTTGATCTATTTGTTAAACTAAAAGGTTGTTTATTTCAGTTAACAATGTTCAATATTTTTCAAGTAATAAAAATTGGAACCTAATCAGTTATTAAAGATGAAAAATAAGATATGTTGGCATATTTAACTATAATAACAACAATATATTTAACAAGAAAATTTAATCAAATTATTTTTTCTCTTTAAAATTATTTTAAATACAATCAGATGAAGAAAGTAGATTCTCACTTTTTTATTATTTCACACTCAATCTTTCTTGTATGTATTAATGATTACCATCAATCATTCGTAGAAATTGAAGAGAGGTGGGTTCTTTCAACTGACATTTTACTCTATGGTCAATCAACAAATAAATTAGACTTCGTTATCAATCTAATATAAAAAAAAAAATTTAATTCAAATTTTCTTCCAGCGAAGTTATCACTTGTCTGCTATGCCTACCTATCTGTGCTCAAGGGAAGTTGAGTGCCCATTGTGGAGCAGATTGGACTTGTATAGCTGTTGGCTTCAGTAGTGGGGCTGTAAGATTTTATACCGAGGTAAAGCATATTAGGTTTATTTTGTTTTTAAAAAACTTGTTCCACTACAACCAATGGAGGGTCTTGTATGAGGTGACCAGATTTTAACATTGGTAAAGCAGGACTCCAATGACTGGGAGGGAGGAAGGCTGGTCCAAATTGGTTGTTAATATAATTAATTTTATGTAATGATAATCTGGTGTAAAAGGTAATCAGGTGGCATAATATTCAGCTGAAATAAGGTTGAGAATTTATTTCTGAATGCGTATTTTTGAGAGTGAATAATTTTATGATGTATTGGACTAATTTATGATTTCAATAATAACACAGGTTTTAAGACCTAAATGTTTTGTGCCAACAAAACATATCATATAATGTACAAACAGTTTGTATATTATAAAGCAGCTCTTCTTCAAAATGTTATAAAACTTATTAAAGGTGACACAAGATTTTGTTAATCGAAGTACCAAATGAGGTTAATTTGCTGATGCCTAAGATTTAACCCATTTTCTTATCAGTATCTTTTTTTAATAACGATACCTTATTACAAACAGTTGTTTAGTTAGTTCAAACAATGTGAGTTTAATTTGAATTTTAACTACTAATCAATCATGCGAACTGTGCTAAGCAGTTCTTGATAATCAGTTTTCAACAATTATTCGGTATTACCAAAGTTTAACATTACAAAATTAACAAAAATAGTATAAAACTCATATCCTGGGGAAATAGCCACATGGCCGCTGAAAATCGTATATTGTCTTCCTGTTCTTCTGCCGTTCCATAGCTTGTCATTCATTCTTTCCAAAAGTCAGGACTTTTATAAAATACCGCGGGGTGCGGGACAAATTGTTAAAAATTGGGATATCTAGTCACCTTAGTCTTGTAGTTAGTGGCAAAGTACAGTTTTTGCCTCAACAGTTGTGCAATGAGGAGACCGATATGCTTGATATACTCTAATTAAAAGTACCCACTTTATAGAGGCTGTGTGTGCCATAGAAGGGTCTCCTGATCCGAGGATTGATCTATAGCTTGTGTTACTGAATAATTAATTATTTGCAGTTAATTACACAGCCTATGATATTTCTTAAGTCCTAAAAATAAATGTTTTGCTATTATAAGGATACACATATTTCAATCTTTCCATTAACAAAATTTCTTTTTTTTATTTTATTCAATTAGATTTATCAAATTAATATTTTAAAATGACATTGAGATAATAGGTAAAAATATGTAGTATTAAAGAAAAGTGAAATTTTCTATTGTGTGTGCCATAGTCATGTCAGATATTCATGGCTTCAATCTCCTGAGGCAGAAAAAAAAAAGTTCTGAACTTTTTGAATTTTTATTCTTACAACCTAATTTTCACAGTCGATTAAAAATTGAAAATTCATGCATGTCCTATATTCATAACCTCTACAACAGGTAGCACCACTAGCACTTAGCATCTTACCATGGGTATTTTTATTTGCTTACGTACTTATTAGTTTTTATTTGTGTTTTTTAATATATTAACTTGATAATTACTATTGATTGGAGAGATTGTCAAAATAAAAAAAAACGTGAACCTCAAATTTTGAGAAGAGATTAAGTTTTTGAATTTTTTGGTCATTCACAATGGTTGATTATTGAAAATAATAAACCAAAAATATTTTTAAATCGTGATATCTCTACTAATAGTGCTTTGATTTCGATTAAACTTCCTTCATTTTTTAGAAAATTTAAATACCTTTGAAACATCTAATCTCAAGATCGACAAAAAAGTGTAAACTTTTCGAGTTATTCAGAATTTAATTTCACCATCCCTCGTAACTTTTTTTTCCGGCTTCTTTTCATTGAAGTATGTTATATAGGTAAATTTAAAGGGTGTCGAGAAAATGACTTTAGCGAAGTTTTATAGAAAGCGGTACATTCGTTTAGGAGCTACAGTCTATTGCAACGCAGATTTTTCGGCCGCCATTTTGAAAATAAAAGATGGATAATAATGTCAATGAAGGAGGATCATCCTCGGGTAACCTCTGATTTTATATCCGAATTTGAAAAAAAATCGGTCCAGTAGTTTCGGAGAAAATAGACAGACAGCCGACAGACAAAAAGATTTTTATTCGTTTTTTAAATTCTACACATCCTGAAATGTGAAACCTCAAATTTTGAGAGAGGTTTAAGTTTTTGAATTTTTCGGTTGATCACAATGGTTGATTATTGAAAATAATAAACCAAAACCAACAATTGTTCTATATTATTTAATATGCAGTTAAAAATAAATAAGACACAACTGTTATTTTAATTTTGACCGCTCTCCCTTCTCTCAGCCATCATTTGAATATATATCAACAGTGAATTGTAATGTATTATATATTTTTGTCTTATTTTAATGAATTTTTTTGTAAAATTTTGGTTGAAAATTAATGATGTTGGTTAATAATTAAATTAATTTTTCTAGAAAGGAAGCTTATTACACTCTGAAGTTTTTCATGAAGAACCTGTCCTTCGACTTAAATGCCAGAGCTATCAGCCAATGTACAGTTCTGTCCTGGGTACTCAATCAGATGAATTATTTGTTATCTATCCTGGAATCGTTTGTTGCATTCAAGGATTTGTTTTGTGTAATACGATAAAGGCTTGCAGGAATCAACTTGCTAGAGGTAAAATTTAATTCATGTATTTCCTTTTTCTAAATTTATTAATGTATTTGTTATTAGGTTCTAGTTTTTACCACATTGAAAATGATGGAGAGGGGTGTGATAAAGGAGGATACGGAACTGCTCAAGTTATTTAAGTCATGCTAAAAAAGTAGTTCAGTTATGAGTTTAAAAATTATATTGGGTTGGCAAAGAAGTTATTTCAGTTTTTCAGTGTGAAAAAAAACTCAATGTATTGGAGGCATAAAATTTATTTTAATCTACAATATATTGGCCATTATTTAATATGACTTTTCCCCATCTTTTCACTAACTGCATAATGCCATTTACCTATAGTATATCTGAAGTTTATTGTTAAAAAACTGATCCAAGTGGTTTTTGATGTCCTCTTCCTTTTGAAATTTCTTTCCATTCATGGAGTTCTGCAGAGACCGGAATAAGTGGTAGTCACTTGGAGCTAGGTCTGGTGAATAGGGAGGGTAGGGTAAAAGGTCCCATCCAAGGCTCAGTAATTTATTGCGAGTGACCAATAAGGTGTGGGGTCTAGCGTTGTCTTGGTGGCACAAAACCCTTCCAATCATTCATAACCCTTCAGGATGTTATCCAAATTCGATGTTACTATATCTGTTGTTAAGCTGAATTATTGCTCTTCAAAGCTGTATGAATGGTATTTTAATTCAATGCCTACATTAAGAATAAATAAACAAAAACTCCTTATAGGTTTTTATTTTTTATCTCCATTTGTAATTTTTTTGCAAAGGTCCTGTTGATGTCATTTTGAGTCCTATAGAAGTTATAACATTTTTTGTGATTTTCGAAAAAAAAATCATGTGAGAGACCCAAACATTAAGCCTGAAAATATCCGAGCTTGTGCAAATGGTTTTCTACGGTTGTGTGCGACACATTTAGGACAAAGCAATCTCTTGCACTGAATGGGTGGGATTTTGATCAGCAATGGTCTTAACATTGCTCATTTCAATTTCATGTGTTTCAATTTTAAAATTATACAACAAAATATGCCGATAATGAATAATATTTTCTTCCATATTCACAGTGCAATAGCAAACACAATACAAAGCCAGTTTCAACATGAGTTAACAGATATAGTTGTTGACATATTACAAACAGGATAAACAATCCACCTTAGGGATTAATTCATCAGATAAGAAGTGTATCATTTGGGATTCCCGAGCGTTCTCATATTTCTCGTTGGTACCCAGAGTTGAAGTGGCTATATCCTACTTTCCGACAGGAATTCCTACTTGGTGTTTTTTTTTTAAGTTCTCAGAAGCCCTCCCTACATCTTAGAACTCCTTACTTTATGCTATTCTATCCACTCTCTCAATACCAGATCTCAACCTATAGATTTATATATCCCCTCCCATAAAACCACTTCCTTCAGTAAATCCTTCGTCATTCGTGCTACCTCCTTATGGAACTCCTTACCCATCTCCATACGTCAAACCACGTCCATAAACTCCTTCAAATAACTCTTATTCCACCACCTACTACAAATTCAAACTTCTGCAAGCTTGTAAAAATTTCTGTGTTAAATAATTACGTTGGCCACCAGCAGTTAAGTCATTTCATTTTTATTTATTAAATTTTTTATATCTCAGTATTTTATTGTATATATCTGTGTTTATCGTTAGTATGTTTTGTAGATATTTATATTTTTCTTGGTACTTTTTTTTTATTTATATATATATATATATATATATATATATATTTGTATTTTTCTTAGTATCTTCGTATGTATGTATAAATGTTGCTTACAATTTCCTAGGTATTTTTCGTATATATAATACTTACATGCCAGACTAATGTACATATTTTGTAAACTCTACTATTATTCTAAGGGAATTTCAGTCCCAGAATAAAATTATTTTTCATTTCATATCATAGTGACATAAAAATAAACAGAAAAACCGAAAGGATTTACTTGCCAACCCAATAGCATGATCTTTGTGTTATGGAACCATTCTTTATTATTAAAAATAATTAAATAATTAATGATATTTAAAAGCAAGTTTAAGATACTTCCGTTCATTATGTTTATGTTTTTTCTAAATATTAGTCTAGTTATTAATCTTTCATAAATTTTCAGTACAGGCACGATGTGGCGATCGCATCGATGCTCCTCCTTTAGCACTCACTAAATGGAGCTTATCTGAACAAGAAACAATTAGTGATGTTGGCATTCTTGGAAGCCAGGCTACGAACAGTTTTGGTCATTTGACCACTGCAAGCATAAGAGGAGGATATTACGCTCTTTACAGGTGGAATAAAATATTATTTAAAATACTATATGTATTTCAAAACTTATTAACAAATAAATTATGTGTATGCATATTGAACCATTAATTTGCTTTAAAAATATTTATCAATTTTTATTGTTATATAAATTGTTGAATATAATTTACATATAATAAAATATTACTTATATTTTACCTGATTGATTTTTTTGTTACAATTTTTATATATTTTTTTTAGGCCTTCCCCTCCACAGATATCCGTCGCTATTGCTTCCGGCGTTCGCCCTTATGTTGGCTTTCATTGCATAATTGAAGGTACTGCCAATCCTGTTCTTACAGATGTTGCCAAGGCTGTCGCAACTAAAGTCAAATCGGCCATTGGCCAAGTCGTACCGTAAGTCTTTAATACTCTTATAATTTTTTTATTCTTAATTATTTGCAATTTTATGAATATTAATAGTATTAAAGTTCATGGTTTTTCTTTGATGTATTGTCAAATGAGAGAATTTTCTACACGTTCTAAAGTAAAATTAGTAAACATGTTTTTATTATTATTATTATTATCATTACTGTTGACTTCTGATGGAACATAGGGCATCTACAAGTGCGTTGCATTCCTCTTCTTCTCATTCCGTGGGGAATCCATTACAACACTTCTTTTTCGTTGGGACTATCTGTTTTCCTCAAATAGTGTCCTATCCATTTCCATTCCTTTTTCCTTATTTTGAGGTAGAGAAAGGAAAGCTTCTCTGTGGTACTTCAGAGCTCTTCATTGGAGATCCTCTCAGGCCACTAGATCCCCAGGATTCTTTGCAAGCAGCGGTTGAAGAAGGTCTAAAGGGATCAGATAACGTTTTCATTTACCTTCCATGTTTCACTACCTTAGAGCAGGATTGATTTTATGTTGATGTTAAACAGACGTATTTTTTAAAAACATTTTTTTCGGTCTTAGTTTTAACGAAGATCTTGAGTTTGTATATTTTTGATTTATTTAATGGAAATGAATTTTTAATCTAAATTCAGTTATTGTTAGTGTTCACTAAAAAAATAATAATACTAGACAGTTTGAACAGAAAATATTTTATTTTCCGTATTATAGTCCGTGGTACAGACCTCTTTTTAGCAAATTATTAACATCCAGCTGAAACTTCATATATAGCTTCATCTCATCATAACCTACAAATATTTTATTTACGAAAATTCTCGGTTTGGGCCGTTTTCAATCTGGAGGTCGGCAAACTTTGTTTATTTAATTAGGGACTAAAAACTCGTAAATACCCATTTGCTTTCCACTTGAATAGTAAGATAACTTCCACACTAAGTTGGGAAAAAAGGTGGCCTTCAAAAATATTGAGCCGTTTTGTGTGACCTACATCCCCAAATAGTCAAAATAACAAGGTTATAGAGGCCAAATGGCCCAATCTTTTTTCAGGACACCTTTTTTTATCGATATTGTGATCAAATTATCTTATGAACCAAGTGGAAAGAAAATTGGTATTTACAAGTTTTTAAAACCTAATTAAATAAACAAAGTTTGCCGACCTCCAGATTGAAAACGCCCCAATTCCAAGAATTTTCGTAAATAAAATATTTGTAGGTTACTATGAGATGAAGATATTTACAAAGTTTCAGCCGGATGTTAATAATTTAATAAAAAGAGGTCTGTACCACGGACTAGGAAAATGTTGACTTAAAATAGGAGGTGGAACCCTTTGATGAAAGTGACTTTGAGTATTCTTCTGTATTCTTAGATGTTTTTTGTTGTTTTTTTGGCTTCTACGTTATCTAGGATAGGGCTTTCTCCTTCCTCATGACTGAAATGAATGGAGAAATGGAGAGATTTTTTTTTTTGTTTCAATATTAAATATTGATTGAAGAGAGTACCATATATTTGCTTCAATTTTCATTTTATAAATATCATACAATTTATTGTTTCAGTGGATGGCTTGGTGGTGGTAGAAGGCCATCTTCTGTTGAGAAATCCAAAGAAAAAGGAACTATTGAACCAGCAGAATCCATGTCTTGTAGGTGAGTCATCTTGTTCATGAATAATATCTATCAATGTATTAACAATCATCATGCAGTTTGTTAATTGATTTTTTACCTGTTAGGTTTGGCCTTTGCGATGCAATAAGGAAAGGTGAGAGGATTTTCATGTCTCCTGAAAAATCTCTAAGTGTTACTTGCGACAGCCTTGGAAGGGTTGTTTTAATTGATAATTTATCTGGTATCGCACTAAGGTATTGTATATTTATATATATATATATTTTTTTTGTAGTATTATAAGTAAAAAACTTTATACATAGATAGATTTTCTGCCTTTGTAATGTTTTTTAAAAGCCTGTTACCTCTGTCTGCAGTAACTTTTAAATTTGGCTCCAGTTCTGTGCTGAAGGGGGTGGGTCAAGAAGGAAAAAAAAATTAAAATTGAAATAATATTTTTTAAAAAAAAGAAAAGTAGAAAATCTATAAAACTTGGCCACCATATCGTTTTAAAAATTAAATGATGAAAATTTTAAAATAATTTTTAAAAAACCTGTTGCAAAAACTGGAAGGTTGGCTTTTTTAAAATGAATAGTTACAAGAAACACAATGATATGCAATTTATAGAGATGGGGGGGGGGGGGGAGGGAGGAGTGCACGGTAAAGAGTCCTGGCCCACAGACTACTAAGCATTCCCTCCACTACTTATCTGCTCTTTTCCATATCCAATCAAGGACTAATTTTTGCTTATGTTTCTTTGCTATTCTCTGAAAAATTCTGGGGTTTTTTTTCAGCAATAAATATGGTCGAAATTCACAAAGAAGTTCTTGAAAGTACATCTCATCAAGAATGTACATAGTAACTTTTTTTAATAAACCTATGATGAATGAATGAATAATTTTACTCTGGGACTACATTCCCCTGATAATAATAATATAGTTACATAGTTATGAGATTTAGTCGGACTTAAAGAATACAAAATTATACCTAATTAACTGCTGATTGCTATTGATTGAATTATACAGTATATAGACACAAGTAAATTTTACATCTTTGGGGAAGTTTATATATGGAGTGTAGGTGATGAAGATAAGTTGTTTGAAGGAATTTGTGGATGAGAATAAGACGTATGGAGGTAGCTATACAGTTCCAAAAGGAGGTAGCATGAATTACGAAGGATTTCCTGAAATAGTAGTTTTATGGGAGGAGATACATAAATCTGTAAGTTGAGATCTGGTATTGACAGAGTGAATAGAGAAACGTAGAGTAAGGAGTTTCAGGATGTAGGAAGGATTTCGGTTCTGAGGACTTGGAAAAGGAAAACACCAAGAAGGAATTGTCGTTGGGAAGTAGGATAAAGCCACTGCAGCTCAGTGTACCAAAAGAAAACATATCACCTGGGCACTAACGGATCCAGGATTTAATTTTGGGGAGGCTTCAGCCCAAATTTTTTTTTTTTTATGTGTATGTTACGATAATTATTTCGGAAGAAAGAAATAAACTAATTACCAATATGAAATGGTGTTTAATTGATTCTTTAAGTTCTATTAAATGTAATTAGACGAACAATAATACTTGTAGAGATAATTTTTTTCATAAAACATGATTATATCTTACCATTTTGGGGGGGGAGGGAGGAGATGCTTCAGCCCGAAGGCTTCCCTCTTCCCCGTAGATCCGCCTGTCGACCTGGGTATCCCAAAGATATGATATATTAGTATTAATTATGATAATCAATGGGTTGGTCAAATGTAATCATTTTAGATACAGTTTCCATTTCATGTCAAAATTTAATGTACCCATTTATTAATCCAGACTTTATAATTTTATTATTCATATATTATTTTAGAATGTGGAAGGGCTACAGAGATGCTCAGTGTGGATTCCTTCCTATCGAGGAAAAGAAACATGGAAGAGGGAGGAGAGCACTATTTTTAGTAATTTACGCTCCTAAAAAAGGTATCATCGAAGTTTGGGCCTTACAACAGGGTCCTAAAATATCTACGTTTACCGCATCTAAAAATGGCAGGTACGTTTTTAGGAATTTTAAAAAACTTTATATATTTATCTAAAATGATCCTTTTATACTTTATTACATATTTTCTGTTACAGACTTCTATATGTTAATTATGGACTTCTTGGTGTCAATGCACTGTCGATGATGTCATCAAATGCTAGTCATCACCCTTGCGTTTTCATAAATAATGCTGGTGTTATTAGCAAAGTTATTGTTCCTTTTCATGCAATTTTAAGGTAGGAATTATATCTAATGTACTTGTTTTTTATTTATGCTGTCAAATAATAAAAATTCATTAAAGAAAATATCGTCTTATTAATATTAGTGTGTCACTTAAGCTATAATCCTCATACATGTGAGAAAATAAATTTATGCTATAATCTTTGTAACATTTAACAAAGATATAGTTCAACACATCAGTCTAGAGACATATGGTAAGTCGGAAAAAATAATGGTATAAAAATAATAGATATCTTTAGAATGTTCTGTTTCATTATTTTTTTAATGGTTTATAGATCGTAGTTTTGATTTCGTGTGGATTGATTTGTAGTTTTGAATACAATGAAAAAAATAATATTAAATAATTTTAATAAAAGTCTTTGTTTATTTTTCTTATAAGGAAATTATTATTAATTATTTTACATTTAAATTTAAATATATATTCAAAACAAATTTATATGGTATTTTCACATATTTTTTAATTTGATATGGTCCTTAGTGACATCAATTGTTTAATAGTTTATCATTTATGTTTGAAACTGATAAACTAAAAGAAAACTATTGAACTTCAAGTACTTCTGAAACTTTTTAGTATCAAACCACTGTTTATACTCCTAATTAAGAATTGAACCTTAAAAATTGATAATAAAGTGAAGAATAAATCGTATTATAATTTCTACAGCAAAAGTGATCCAAGGTCGAGGGATGAACATATTTTAAAGCAGATAAAAAGAGCTTTATCTAATTGCCACGGTCCCGAGTTTCTGCAGCTGATGACTCAACTCATTACGCCGCAAGCAAAAATACAGGCTTTGGAATTGGCTGCAAAAGCTAAGTTTATAACCCCCGAAATTCTCGATTCTGCAATAGTTGGGTTTCTTGAAAAGTTAAAAAGCATAGGTATGTTTCTCATTTTATTATAAACTTTAATTGAATTCTATCAATATGTATTATTTCTTTTCTATATTTTATTTACTATACTTATTAGTATATATGATGATTGTTATAACGTTCAATCCAATTTTAATTTTTAATCAAACCATTAAGCTATATAATAAATAACTAGTATTACCACAACCCATGAAGATTTTTTTTATTTGGTTAAATTTGATTTGATTTTTCATTTTCCTTCTACTTGGTCATTTCTTAGATACTAGTCCACGGTATAGACTCTGTTTTTTGTTTTTTTTCAAATTATTATTAATCCTCTGAAATTTCATGAATGGCTTCATTTTACTACAACCAACAACTTTTTTATTTATGAAAATTCTTGGAAATAATGTATTTTCAATCTGGATATCAGTAGATGTATCAATTTAATGAGGTACTAAAAACTCGTGACCATCCAAGAAAAGAAGTGACCTACAAAAGTATTGGGCTGTTTGGCCTATATAATCTCATTATTTTGGTATGTTGGTGTGACCTCCTCTTTAAAATCATCTTCAACTTCAAGCACTCCAGTTGTTTTAGATCATCATTCCATTTTGGGTGATGGACAATGGCCACCTTTACTCGAGTGTCCCACCTATTCTTTATTTACTGTTAAATCCAAATTTAAGAAACGTTTTATTAATTTTTTTTCTCATAAGCCTACATTTGCTATTGGAAATGATTTTAATAAAAAAAGATTAAAAAACAAGAACAAAAGTGGAGCTTTTAGATCAATATTACATCATCAAGTAGACTTTTCTGTCATAACTTCATAGTTGTAACATAAAAAAAAAAAAACCTGTACCACGACAACCCACACAGGGTTTTGGGCTCAGTACTACTTAGCGAAAGCACTGTTTCTTGGTCTACGGTTGTGCAAGGAAGTGATTTGACCGAGATCACGCTCAACCGCCAGGTTTTCCCCCTTAATTAATTATTTAATTAAGGGTATCCACTTTATAGAGGCTGGGTGTGCCCCAGGAGGGTCTACCTACCCAGGGTCGCCTCACGGCCAATTAAACAGAATAAATAATTTTTCTGCCATGAGCCGGGATTGAACCTGGGACCTTTAACATTGGAAACTCAGTACCCTACCACTGAGCTACCCCACATCCTTGTTGTAACATAGCACTAAGTACAACCCACAAATGTTGTTTTCTTAATTGGAAGCATCTCATATTTTAAATTTTATAAAATTACTTGTATTTGAAGTACTCTCACAATGCAAACAGTGAGATGCTCTTGAAATTGTAACACTATATCCTCTTACCACTTCAAACTTATAATTTAAAAGTGTTGGTTGGTTTATAAATAAATAATAAAATGCTTACCCAAAGGCTCGATGGAGACACCCCCAATCGTTCCACATACCAATATCTAAATCCCTATTTTTCAACTTGCGCCATGAATCAGTTCCTTACCCGGTGGGTGACGAGGGACAAGTTTACCTCCGGATAATGAGCGTTTTACCTTTGGGAGATCCATGACTATTTGTGGTATATGGTGAACAAAAGATATGTGAGTAGAACGTTCAATCCTATGTCACACCCTCCAGCAAATATGGAGACCCCTCTCATTGTTGGTCAGCAAGTCCATCGGACTTAGCCGGAAGAAACTTTCAAGGAATTTCCACCAACCATCCCCACATCCGCCACCCGTGAGAGGCTCCCCATACCCGGTAATGAGCTTGCGCGAGGTATAGGTTGGTTAGTTAAACATCTTTGAATTAATTGTTTTCATTCTTTTGTATATATGTATTTTTATTTTACAGAAGAAGAAAATCTTGGAGCTGAAGAAAAAAAATGTCTACTGGTTTGTGAAAATTTGCAACGCCTTCTCAAATTCTATGTTATGACCGTAACTCTGCAAGCTGAACCTCCTCGATACAGCACTGTCGTTCCGGATTCCCCTGTTGATGATGATGAGGTTTGTAATTTAATTAATTTTTATGATAATTTAATTTGGCTGGCTCTGCTTGCACTCAGTAGGATTTTATTTGGACTCTCCTTCCCCTCCCCAAAAAATATTTTAATTTACACTTTGATCTCCTATAAAAATATTGACTTAGTTCATAATATTTAAAACCTTAGCAGCATTAGTGCATTTCTGCTCCTTTTTTTTTTTTTTTTTTTTTTTTTTTGTCCAAGTAGCTCTAAGTTACATGTATTTTTATTTACTTATAATTGTGTTTCTGAATCTAGTTTTACTCTTATTATCTTTTTTTTGTTTTTACTTGAATTTAGATTTATTTAGAGGTTGATGAAATTATTTAACTTTATTTGAAAAAAAAATCTAACTTTTACTCTGATTAGTATTCACAACTTACCTTTACAACAAACCATTTCTCTTCTCTATGTGATCTTTTTTATAGTTTTGGCCAATCGAGACAGTTCTCAAATGTTTCCGATTTTTCTTGATTCTTTGTCAGTGCTATCTAGATTTTAATACTCATGCTATTTTTATAAACTTTATCGCTAATTTAATTTTATAAAAATTAACAGTAATTTAGATTTAAGAAATCATTATTGTTACTGAAAAATAAATGTTACAAATAATTAAATTTCAGTAAATATAGTTAAAATTGCTACATTTTGCCTTGGATATGAAAATATAACCATATCCTTTGTATACTATCTATAAAAAATAAGTAATTTCAATGCAATATACATTATAACATATATGTTTAAGTGTGGAGTGATGGTCAAAATGTAACAAATATACTAATGCTATTGAAATGAATATTATATATATATATATATATATATATATATATATATATATATATATATATATATATATATATATATATATATATACAAACATATACAGATGGTGAAAATAAAACAAAGTATTTTAGATGCTTCTTTTTGTTTATTTTGGTAACAATATTAATTATAATATAATCACTTCTTTTCAGGGGTTGGCTAAAGTTTTGCGATTAACAAAAGAAGAAACTCAGCGGTTTTTTAATTTTATTACTATCGATTCTGAAAAGAACAGTCGGTCAAAGGTGAAGTTTGATCAGCCTGATAATAAGTTCAGCCTGTTTTTGATTTCATTTCTACCGTCAGTTATGAAACCGCCTCCTCTTCTTGTCGCTCACAGTATGACCAGTTCTGATCTGGCCATGATTGGTAAACATCTTAATATCTTAATAATTGTATTAATTATTTGCCTTAATTATGCTTGTTGAAAATAATTAAGAAAGTAGTTTACTCTGATAAATATTATTGTTTTTGTTTTTTTGTCATGTGAAAGATTAACTTTTTAAAGATTCTGTATTTACTCATAATTTAATGCAGAGAATTTTAGAATATTATTTATTTTTTTTATGTTTTGTTGCCTCTACCCTAAAGGGTCATTGGCAGCACCTTTGAATTACACTCTGTTGTAGAGTTTTATCACTTTTAAACACCTTAAAGTTTTTTTTACTGCACTTTCACTGTCTTGTAGGTTTTCTTTTAGACTCTGTGCCATGTCTAACTTTTTCCTTGTAGGTTCAAATGTAGGGCAGTCTTGAATAATGTGCTTTATTGATTGGCTTATTCATTACCGATGATCCCGCAATGCGAAGGGACTCAAATGAACACTACTTCTTTGCCCTTCTTCCTTAGTAGCCACCAAATGTTTCTTACATCTTTTGCGAGAGTGGTTTTGGGCCTGTTATGTTCAATGGCTAGTAATGAACTCATAGAGTCTGTCATCACTACCCAATTGGTAGTTTCACTTGTCTCTATGTGTTTAAGAGCTTCTCTAATTGCTAGCATTTCACCAGTAAACACTGAACAAGCCTCCGGAATTTTGAAAAGTTTTTTAGTATTAGAATTTATAACGGAACACCCTACTTCCTTATCTACTTTTGAGGCATCCGTATACAAGATGTGACATTCCTTATATTTTTCCAAATTTTCTAAAAATAATTTTTGAACTTCAACTGGAAGTGCCGTATCCTTTTTGTGTCTGGCAATTGAGGTATCTATAGTTGGTTTGACATTGGTACATCTGGGAATTATTATATCCGACACATCCAGAGCATTTTCAATGTTTAGATCCGCAAAATGATCAAGAAGTGTTTCTATTAAGTTTTTCTCCCTGATGTTACCTGTTTCCTCATTACTGAATAATACCTTATTTAGTATATGTCTTGGGTTAATCTTGATTTTGAGACTATACTTTGTTGTCATGAATAATCTTCTGAAGGTTAGAGGAGGTTCACCAGCTTCTGCATATAGACTTTCTACAGAGGAGGTAATTTTAGAATAGTGAAGGTTGTTTTTCCTGTAGTTTAGGTGTTGCTAAAATCTCAGGAATTTTCTCATTAAGTGACCTAAATATGAACAAAATTTATGAAAAATTCTTTTCACTACAGGTAGTAAATGTTTATACTTTAAATGTATAAATGATAGCAACGTTACAAAGTTGTTTACTCAATGTTAATGAAAGTGTATTTAGAAATTTTTTTTCAAATTTACTTTCATTCATCATCTAAAATAGAAACAAATTACTAGCCTTTAATATGGAAAAGAAGATAACAAGCTAAATTTATTAATTCTAAAGAAAAAATATTTTCTGATTCTTTTAATGAGAATAATTTGATTTTTATAGATGCTTATGAATTAATTATAACTCTGAATTATTATATGAGCTTTTCAGTTGACAGAATGACTCCAACTCCAATTTCAATAATTTTGAGTTAAGTCATATTAGTGATATTTCAAATTGAAAAATTTATATCTGTATAGCCAAAGAGTAAGTCGATTCCAGATTAGATGATTGCAGCATTGAAATATAGAACTGTGAATAAAGTTATAAATGTTCCTACTAGAAATATCACTAAAATTAATAATAAAATGTTGAAATTGGAGTTTGCCATTCTTTCAACTGAAAGGCTGATATAGGCATAAAAACATAACCAAAGAAAAGTTGATTTGTATTAAGTTATGTGATTAATTTCAGTATTCATTGTTACTGGATTAGTTCCCTTGTCTTGGACCTTCTTTCAGATTTTTACATTTCAAATATTTAAAAAAAAAAAAAAATTATAATGCTTATGAACTATTTTATTGAAACATTAAATTTTTATCAACCCCAGAAGACATCATTACATTATTTGTTTATTCAGCCTGTGATGGAAGATATAGAACACTTCCATTTTATTTATATTAAGCTTTTAAATTAATTTTCTAAAGTTTATTTCAGTATTATTTTTTAATTTAGTTATTTCTGTTATAATTATAATTTTACTAAAATAACTTACAAAGATAATTTTTTTAAATTTTTATTTTTGTAGGTGAACTTCTCTGTCAATGTGTTTTGTACGGAAGTTGCTCAATAGAAAATTGGAAGAAAGCTGCTTTTGAAAGTTGTATCGAAGCAAGTTCATTATTACATTCCGCTATATGTTATTGGTTAAAGAAACCTTTAGGGAACAACGCTCGATCTGAAGTGATCCTTTTCATGCACCTCATGGTTGCAATTACTTTGCTTTCAAGTTGGTTTCATATTTTGTTTTTTTTATTCTTAAATTTATTAAGCTCCTGTAAACAATTTTTTCTATGAATTTTTACAGGCCAAAGAGAAACTGTTGAGTTTTGGGAAAATGTTCGATCAGTTATCACAGAAAGTACTAATATAACAAATGCCCTCTCAGCTGCGATCATCGCAAGAAGTGTATATCTTAACATAGAAGATCAGTTAGCAGGTATGATAAATAGAGAGTGTAATCGTTTTATATTTATTTATCGAAAAAAAAAAAAATTCAAGTTTCATTCTTCATCTTTTTTTCAAATTGAAACTTCCTTTTCTGACAGGATACAGTAATTGTGTCTTTGTTTTTATCATTTTTTAAAATTTCTAATTTTAATTCAATAAAATTTCTCATTATCAGAGGGTATTAATGAAAAGTAAAAAAAAAAAATTTAAATGTCATAATTGTGCTTTTTAGATGTATACTATTTTTTTTTTTTTTTTTTGCACTTTCATTTATTTATCCGCACCTGTCAATTACAACTATCGTTAATCATCAGATGTGCTGGTATAGTCATAAGAAAAAAGATAATAATAATAAAAAATAAAATAAAAAGGCTTGATAGGCATGAGGAATAGCCCTTTCCATGACCTATTTACTAAAAAATTATTTAAATAGATCTCTCATTCAGATCCTTTTCAGTTGTCTTCTGGAGTTCTCGAGCATACTAATTATGGCCATTTCTTTTACCAGCTGGATGGAGTGGCCATTTAACATATTATGAAATCATTTGTAGTACGTTCATATGAGTTCATTGACTGTCGGAACGTGTTAGTCAGTGTGTAAAGTGTGGTTGTTCATGTACCATGGTGCTTAAGTAGTTGTAGTCTGTAAGTCCAAAGAGGTTTTAATAGATATGTGTAAATACTTAGTTTCTGTCTTGCTTTTAATTTGGAATGTCGTCTTAACAGTGGATGTAACAATTTTAACAATTTTAGTTTTAGATTTAATGTGATTCGTTTTTCTTAACATATAGACCCAATGTTATTCTCCTATCAAACATAAAGGACTAGGTACTGTACTCCGTCTGTTTGTGGAATCGGTATGTTGTCTTAAGTATACAGGAGGGCATGTTTCTGGTCTTAGAGTAAATGTGATGTGTTGTGACTTGATAATTTATTTCAGTTTTCCAAAGTTTACACCAATCGAGTATTATTTTTAAGTGATGTAGTAAGTTAAGTGATGCCTCTGTAGGATTTTCGTGCCTGGTAATGATAGCAGTGTCATCTGCGTAGGTTGCTGTAAGAGTGTGGATTCTTAGAGGAATGTCGTGTGTATTTGTGATGTACTGTAATAGGGTTAGAATTGATCCTTGAGATACACCAGCTAAAATTGGTCGAATTGAGGATAGACCTTGACCGTGTCGAATGGAGAAAAATCTGTCTGAGAGAAAGGAATGAAGAATCAAGTAGTATGTATGTGGAATTATGGTCTTAAGCTTAAAGAGAAGCCCCTGATGCCATATTTTGTCGAATGCTTGGGCGACATCCAGAATTACTTCGGTTACATATAATTCTTCTTTTAAAATAATGATATATATATATGTACTTTTAATACTCTACTCAAATTAACCTTTTTATTGCATTGATATATTTTATGATAAATGGTAAAAACTGTCTATTATTCGAGAGTTATGAAGAATCTATACAGTGTTTTGTTTCTTTACTCCAAATTTATTATGCTTCTGTAATTTATAATTTCATATCGGTATTTTTTGTTAGATGACAATGATAGTGATTGGGAAACAGTTTCTAGTGAATCGTGTGTTTGGAGCCAGTTAATATCTCAAGTGGAAGCTGTAGCATTATTACAATCCACATTGAAGTAATTATACAATTTATTTTAAAATATACTTAATTTAATTTAACTTAAAATAAATTAATTTTATTATATTTTTACTTTTATTAAAATAATGAGTGCTCAAAACTTGCTTCCTGTTTTATTAGATGAACATTTTTTAACTTTTAATTGTATTTTGAAGGAACTGATTAACGGTAGCAATCTTTTCTTTCTTTTTTTATTTTTTCTGAAATACTATACGTCCAATTAATTATATATACATATTTTAATGCAAACTATAAATCCTTGGGTCTATAACGTATAAGTGAACAGTTGGCCAAGTTAACTGGTCACTTATATGTTAGAGATACAAGGCTTTGTAGTTTGGATTGTTCCATTCTTAATGTCTCTTTTTGAGCTTTCTGCTTATTTTAGTAGTTTTTTTTTTTTAATTTAAAGTCTTAGTCTTAAAACTGGATTATCTTAAAAGTGATATAAAAAAATTAACAAATAACCTACAATGCTGTATAGTATAGGATTAATCTTAATAAATTAAAATAATATGTAATATTATTTTGGAACTTAATTTCATACATATTTGTTTCCAGTTACAAACCTTCACAAGAACTGCCAAAAACTATTATGCCAAATCTAGAATACAACAAACCCGATTTTTCATTGTCATACATTGTCAACAAAGGACCAGGTATGTATTTTAATTTATATGATATTTATAATTGGTAAATGGTTGACTGTCGTGAATAATGGAGAGAAGAATAGTTGGTGTGATCAGTCAAATAAGAAGGCAAAAATAAATGATACTATTTATTTATTTTGACATTAGCCAACGTTTCGACCTGAAGTTCAGGCCATCATCAGGGCTAAGAAAAGAACCAGATAACAAGGTATGAGAAACATAAGTAGTGTAGGTAAAAAAAATTAAAGTAAAATTCAGTTGTTAGAATAATGACAATAGTAAGAACAAAGAGATAAATGATAATAATCATTATGTTTACTTCATCATTCCACACTTTGTACCGCTTATTATCATTTATCTCTTTGTTCTTACTATTGTCATTATTCTAATATTGTCATTATACTTTAATTTTTTTACCTACACTACTTATGTTTCTCATACCTTGTTATCTGGTTCTTTTCTTAGCCCTGATGATGGCCTGAACTTCAGTTCGAAACGTCGGCTAATGTCAAAATAAATAGTATAATCTATTTTTGCCTTCTTATTTGACTGATCACCCCAACTATTCTTCTCTCGACTATATGATATTTCTATTTATAAAGTACTGTAGTTGTTTGAATATACAAAAAAAAAAGAAGAATATTTTTTCAAGTTTTTTGTTTTTCTTTGAACAATGCTTTACTTTTAAGAAATTATTATGAAGTAATATTATTTTGATATTATATAGTTATAATTGTTGTATTACTAATATGATTTAGTATCGTATAATGTATGTTTTTATTATGCAGGATCTGTATGTGAAAGTGTGGCGAAATGGGTTTCTTCTTGGGGCCTGCGACCGGAGTGGCTGTCAACACCATCGGATGCTTCCGAAGTTATAGAGGAAGACGATCTACCGATTGGCGCAGTGATTACTGGCTTCGATCCTGGGAGTGACCCGACTGTTGAAGCTAGAGAAACCGTACCTGAACAGGTAAAATAATTTCTGCCAAATTCAATCTAATTGATCTGTGGTGCCTAGAAATTGATCTACAGTGAATAATATCTTTACCATTATTATTGTTTATATATATATATTTTTTTTTTTAGGACCGTGCATTAGTTCTGTTGAACGAGCTGCGTGCTCATTTTCCATACAGTTTAGCCCAAGGTCCTCTAGTGGCTGGTCAGTCTTGGGAGTACGTTTCTGCTTGGGCGAGAGATCCTGATCAGATAGAACTGCTCACTGCCTCATTGAGATCTCTCACTAATATTACAAGCCCTCATCTTAGGCAAGGTATTTCACGCTCATACTCCTTATAATATATATTATAATGATGTAGAGATGGATGACCGTTGATATAATATGAGAAGGAGTTAATCGGGAGTGCGGTCAAATAAATATTAAATTAAAATATAGTAATTATAGTTGTAGTTAAACAGGTACAATCAAATATAACCTCCACTAGCTTGTTATCCACTGTTATCTTATTCTTATTTTAACTTTACTATAACAATACTTATTCAATTTTCAATCTATTTATTCGTTAACATTCATTTTCTTTATCTGTTAATCCACAGTTATCTAATGTAATCTCTATTAGTTTGTTATACACTTGTTCCTTATATCTTTTATCGCAATATGTTTACTTTTAACTTACATGCTATATTCTCCTTTATTTTTATTTTTATTCATACTTATTTTCCATTTGTTTGTATCTTCTACATATATAATACTTAATATTTTAACTACATTGTCACCCACTACATCTCTGATATCATCTTTTTATTTCTGTATCTGACAACTTCTTCTTATTTTATATCTACTTATATTTATTTTTTTATTTTCAACATGTTTTGTAGCCCTGAAGGCGACCTGCAAAGTGGGTCGAAACGTCGGCAAAAATTAAATAATTACTATATTTTAATTTAGTATTTATTTGACCGCACCCCCCGATTAACTCCTTCTCATAATATATATTATAATGCACTTAATCACATCTTCATTTTATTGCCAAAAGTCCTTTCTACATCTCCTATTCTAACGTAAGCAGAGACTTCTAGTTTCCTCTCTCGCCTTCAATTATTTATATAATTATATCACAATCTCTCACAAAATAATTTATTCTGTTTTATCTGCCTTGGGGTGACCTTGGAATCAGGAGACCTTCCTGAGGCACACCCAGCCTCTATAAAATGGATACACTTAATTCAATAATTAATTAAGGGGAAAAACCTGGTAGTTGAACGTGATCTCGGTTAAATTACCTCCTTGCACAATCGTTGACCAAGAAACACTACATTTCTTAAATAGTGCTAAACCCAAAATTCCTCATGAGATGTAGTGGTACAGGTTTTTTTTCTTAGAAGTGAATATTTGTACTATTTTACTATTCTTGATAGATTTATAATGTTCAGTGTTTTGTTCATATGGGTATTGTTTATATCTTTTTTTTTTTTGTATAACTCTAGTTCACTTAGTGAGTAAGGAAATGGTGTGGGGTCATAAAAAAGCTAAAATAGTGAAAAAAAACTATTTTATTTAAAGCTGACGTTTCGACCCAACTTTCTTAGGTCTTATTCAGGGCTAAAATGAACAAGATACAAAAGACTATAGAGAAGTGTGGAAGTTGCATAATGTTTAGATAAAAACAATGTGAATAAACTTATTAAAATTATAAACAGTATGAACAGCAAGTACATAGAAATATAAAGGACAATAAACTATATAAACAGATTAAACTAAGTATAACTAAGCAACAAGATCTTAAACTGAAGCAAATAAATGGTAACAATTGCTGTAGATTATTGGAAATAATGAAAAATTGAATGTAATATTAGCCTTTTTATGACACCGGACCATCTTCTCACACAATAATATACCACGTTCAACCATCTATTATTCAATAGTTCACTTGATGTTTTCTTTATTTTAATTTAATTTTATTTATTTTATTAAACTTATAGGCTAGAAGTAATTTTTTCTTTTTATACGATTGTGGTATTCTTAATGGAATTGGTCCCAGAATAAAGTTATTTTCTATTATTATTATTATTATTATTAAAACATCATTAAATGGCATTTCATAACCTTAAATCATTAAAATATTTGATAAATTTTCTCTTTGTAAAATCAGAAAAATGTGTGCTTGTGGTAACTATATTTGGTAAATAAATGGATTTGTGTTATTTTAGTTTATTCTATAAATTAAGTCAAAAACGTTCTTAAAAGTTCAGTTCCATCAAAAATGTATTTTAGTGACTTTTTTTTGTTATAAATTGATGAAATCATGCCTAATGAAAAATTATATTGATGTTTCTTTCTTCTTCTTTAATATTGATAAATTATGTCAGGTATCTGCAAGATTATTAGTTAATTCTCAATATCTATTATTTCATTACTGATTCTTTTTTGTTTACACAATATTACTGTTATAGTTCCCCATCATATTAAATTCTGAACTGTACTATACGGGAAAAGTTTCAATGCAAGAGATAAGAAATCTTCCTCTTTGACATCCGCATTTTATTATGACTTCTACAATAGATGTATTTTTTAATACTGTCTAAGTTTTTTTTTTTTTTTTTTTTTTTTTATAAAAAATTAATACTGTCTAAATAGGTTTCTTTGGTCCTTAAGAGATAACATTGCCCCGATGACATCAAATGTTTCGTGCTAGTGTATGTGGCCGACAAATGGTTGTCTGAAGCACAAAAGGCCTAGTAAGAGAAAGAGGGGAAGAATATCTTCTGATTATTCAGTGGAATATCTTCAATTCTGCAAAGTTCAGTGTAAGGATTAATATACCTATTCCTGTCATAAATATTGTTACAAGGAAATATATACAGATTTCAACAGGAAAATAATTTTTTTCAAAAACATTATAGAAAATAAAATGTATATCTTTAGAGAGTAAAAAAAAAAAAAGAAAGAAATTACTCAAAATATACCCCTTTAACCTTGATACAGCCAATTAATCTCCAAGGCCAGTCATCATGACGCAGCACTTCTTGAGGAAAGTATTCAACTGCTCGGACCAGAGATTGTTTGAGACTTACCAAGTTATGGTGTGCTCTGTGGCATGCCATCATCTCCAGTTCGGACCAAAGCCGATAATCTAGTGGGTTTTTAGCAGCTGACAGGGATGAGGATCAGATAATGAACGATCTGCCATAGTATATAGATCTGAAGACCTAGAGTGGGTACTGCGGGAATGAGTCGAGGATTTGAATCGAAGGAGTTCGAAGATTTATGAAGGAAGGCGGGATTGAATGACTTGAAAGAGGAAGGAAGCCAGGAAATACTTACTAGGGTAGGAAAGATAAAGCCACTTCAACTCTTCATAAAAATGGGAGTCTCTTGGGATCCTGAAGATGAATCGTACAAAACAATTTATCAAACGTTTTAGTTTTGATTCAAGGTCCCCAGAGACGCCCCCGTATACCGTGTAGCAATAGTCGGAGTGGCGAAATATTGAGGACATGGCTTGGTGCCTACTGGTTTCAAATGGAAATAGGTGACAGAGGTAATTTAGATGTTTTAAGGTAGAAAAGGTGCGGCGACGGGAGACATTGGTTACTTGGTTTTTCCAGGAAAGGGTTTGATCAGAGGTTATTCATAGGTTCTTACATGGTACTGTAAATTTTGGTTATGATGATATTTAAATATAGGCAATTTCCATAGGGAATGTTTAATTAATTTTGCTTGTTAATAACATTTTTTTTTTTCTTTTCAGGTCTATGCTCAATTATTTGGAATGTTCATTTAAAGTCCAAATTTGAGGCAACCGTACGTCTCTTGCATAAAGTGGGGAAACTTCCCAAAGAGAAACTTTGTCGTACCGAGATTAACATCTCTGATACTAATGTCAAGCACTTTTTAACTAGATTAACTGATTTCATTGAACTTTTTTTGGAGGTAATATTTATTAATTGATACAATTGAGTTAAAATAATACTTTTTATTGTTATACTATCAGCTGTCTATAATTCTAATTTCAAGAGTATATCAAGCCATTCCTAGTTGTATATAGTTGAAGTTATAAGGTTAGCTTAGGAAAGTTCTGAGTTAGTAATTACATTTTATTTGATTTACAAGGCTTCAAAAAAAAAATTTTGTGTGTCCACTCACACGACGTTTCTACCTATTTCAGAAAGGTTTTTACATGAAGAAACAAAAAAGAATTGAACTAGATACATTTTCTTGAAAATTGATCAAACATAAGATTTGAGTACGATTTATTTGATAAACTAAAGCAATGTAAACTGGCTTAAGGTAGATGAGTGTAAAAACTTCAATACGTCCTAATATTGATCCTGATCAAAAATTTTTTGCCATAGCTTAGTATTGTCAAACAAAAATTTCTGTTAAAAGTAGAGGAAATAGTGAAGCTTGTGTGATGAGGGCAACAGATTTTCTTACTTTCACTTCGTCATCTTTATTCTCTCATTCACCCCTTTCTGACACCAGGATATGAAACCGTAATCTTACATTGGAAATTCATTACCTTTCAAACGACAGGCTAAACGGCGTATTTTTCGGACTCAGGAGGCTCTGAAACGTATAGATCCGTCGAAAACCGCATGTCGGAAATTTGACCCGATTGCAATACTTTCCTTACCTAGTATAGGTAGGAAAGTAATAAGTCAAAAAAATGTGTAAAATATAGAATGAGCTGTATCATCGCTAATACTGGTTCGATTCCGATGATTTTTTTTTATTTTGTTGGAAATTTAATTACCTTTCAAAAGTTTTATTATAAATTTTACTCTATAATATATACTTAGGGAGTTAGTCCCCATAACATTTTTCTTTTCTTTATAACTTTTTTTCCTGAATTTTTTCAGGAATTTAGTCTATATACAAAAATTGAAAGAACAATGATTAGAACATTATAGAAAAGTTTCATCAAAATCGTTAGAGCCGTTTTTGCGTTACAGTCTATAGAAAAATATGTTTTTCATTTATTGCGCATGGAGCACCGAATTTCTGTCACAGGCATCAGTAGTCAAAACCCTACAAAATAAAAAAAGAAGCAACAAAATCGGTTCAGTAGTTTCCGAGAAAATCTTGGCACAGACAGACAGACCAATAGCTAAAAATATATTTTTCAGACTCAGGAGGCTCTGAAACGTATAGATCCGTAGAAAACCTCATGTCGGTAATTTGACGCGGTTGCAATACTTTCCTTACCTAGTATAAGTAGGATAGTAAAAAGAAAAAAAAATTCAAAATATACTAAGTGTGTCAATATGAAACTGGAATTTTCGTATAGAAAATACATGTTTATTGCATCAAAATGTTAAAAAATAGTTTATTCGAAATATTGTTTATCATTAGTTACACATTTTTCCCATCTCTCTGGTTGTCAATTTATGAATGCCATGCCAGAAAAATTGTTGATCTTTGGTGGTTCTCACTGGTAAGTGAGCTATTTACAGTTAATATTTTTTTTATATTATATTAATAATATACAGTTAATATTTTCCAACCGAATGCCTCAATTCTTTCCTTCACTCTTTTTCATGTGTTTAATGATACATTATCATGAAGCAAAATCATTTTATGTTATCTTTTTTTATGTCTCTTTTTTTTATTAAAAATGCCTCTTGTTTTTATTCTATTGTAAAATTCATATATATATATATATATATATATATATATATATATATATACATACATATATATACATATATACTTCTAAAATTACAGGAAAAAAGTTATGAAGGAAAAGAAACTTTATTTGCGAATAAATAACAAAGTATACATTTTTTGTTGATTATTTGAAAGATTACTAAATTCTCTACAAAATGAAAAAAAAAATCTCCAAAATTGAGATCCTTTTTAGCTGAAATACAGGTTATTGTAATGCCCACACATTTGGTTTAAAACATAATCATTTTAATCATTTTCTTTGGTCTATCACAATTACATAAAAAATATGAAATTATTCATCCATCTTATGCTACATTGAATTATTTAATTAAGAATATTTTTAACTGACAAATATTCTTTGCAAATTATTCACACGGGTCAACAATTAATAATATTATTGTAATAAGTACTGTAATTAATAAAGTAAGTAGTTCTGCAATAAATACTGTTACAAAAGTTAATTTTTTTTTTACATCCTTGAGTATTATTTAGTTAATCCTTACCTCTATCAGGTTGTTTTCTTTTCCTTAGTTATCATGGAGTAGGGCGATAAAGAAATCCAAATAGCTGTGACCGCTTTACACCAAGTTGGAAAATGTAGGTCAGAAATTTTCAACTCTTTGAAACCTTTGGGTATTAGCCATATGTTTGTGTAGCGCACGATGAATAGATATAATGAGACCCCACCTATATGTGATAGACATTGACCGGGCTGTCCCGCAGTTTGAGAATGGAAAATGCATTGAGAGCAGTGGCTGCTCGAATAACAAGAAATCACATTCAAATATTTTCACTATTGAAGAAAAATTTAATTATCAAATTATTGTGTGTACACACACAGCTCTAAGGAAACCCAGAAAGTCATTGGAAGAGTGGAAAGAAGTCATCACCCTTCCTCAGTGATGGTTTGCGTTGATGGCACCACAAAGCTCCATTTTTGTGAAAAAGGAGTTGAAACAGCCGCTAAAAACTATCAGGACAATATTTCGGAACCTGTTATCATGCCTCTAAATGATACTCTGTTTGCTGGAAGTCATTGGCTTTTCCAGCGGAATGCTGCTCCAGCTCACAAGGCCAGGTCAACTCAGCCGTGGGTGCAAAAGAACATTCCAGAGTTCATCTCTGCCTTGGATTGGCCCTCAGAAAGCCCTAATCTCAGGAGAGAATGGCATGTCACAGAGCACACCCTAACTTGGAAAGCCTCAAAAAATCTCTGGTCCGAGCAGTTGAGTGCTTTTCTCAAGAAGTGCTGCATGCTGATGACTGGCCACGGTGAATAAATGCCTGTGTCAAGGCAAAAGGGGTACATTTTGAGTCATTTCTTTTTTTTTACTGTCTATATATATATATATACTTTTTATTTTCTAATAAAGTTTTTGAAAAAATTAATTTTTCTGTTGAGATCTGTATATATTTCCTTGTAACAATATTTATGACAGGACTAGGTATATCTGATTAGTTCGGTGTTCTTAATTTATGCATAATTTTATTTTATTGACAAAAATATGTTAATGTTTAAACATTATCTAATCTCTTTCTATATTTAATGAATTGTAAAATTTCACTTTTCAGTGTGTTTCTGCTGCTGAAGTAAGTAATGAAATGACTAAAATCAAAGTTGAACCTCTGTGGACGGAATGCCAGCCATCTCTTGCAGAAATATGCCTTGCTCAAGCTCCCCCTAATTCAGGTATTCTTGAACTACATGGCATCTGTATAGCTGTTCTTACGGTTCTCGCTGGACTGCCTTTAAGACTTCATCATCCCATCACTTCACTTTTTGATTCTTTCGTAAGATAATTGTGTTTATTTATATTAAAAAATTTTTGTTACTTTCTGGTGCATGATGCATTTTCATATCTTTGTGTTATTTTCGTTCGGGTTTCCTTACCCCCTTCCTCATCATCCTCTTTTATATAGCCCTATGGTGAGGGGAGGGGAACGTTCTTAAAGCAAAATAAAGGGATGGGTGGATTAATAGATTATTAAATTAACTTATTCAATAATATATACTGAATATAATAGATATCTAGGATCTGACGGCCAAGCACTTTAGGACTTACAGGGTGACGACCGACAACCTGAAAGAATGGGAAAAGTCAGGGAACTTTCAATAAAGAGAGAAGTCAAGAGACAATTGTTAAAGTCAGAGAATTTTTTTAGTCAGTAAATATTTTTTTTCAAATTGGAAATAAATATACAGTCGATATCGTTTATAATGTACTTTAAAGGTTAAGCTTTTTTAAAAGAAAAAACATATCAATACTACTTACTATTTATAATATATACATCTAGGCCAAGATCTAGCTGGCTAGCACTCATTTGTATGGACACGTGGTGCTCCTTAAAAGAGCCTTTATTGTCCAGAAATGTCACAGTTGGTGTCATATCGTCGCCACCATGTTAAAGTAACTAACGATTGTGATCCTCTTTAATGTACACATTCGTTACTTTAACATGGTGTCGGTGACATGGATAATTATGATGCTGTTTATTGTAATAAAGAAACCAAATTAGTTATGAGAAACTATGTTAATATTAGAATCCCCCATAGCTCACTAAATTTTATAATAGAGAAAATAAAAACGATAAAAATAATTACTAAAAGTTTAGTTTTCTAAAATAAAAAAACTAAACAAGCTTAAAAAATGCTTCCTCTAAAAGTATATTATATTACTACATTATTAGTATATTATGAAGAGAAGAATAGTTGGGGTGGTCAGTCAAAAAGGAAGGCAAAAATAAATGATAATATTTATTTTTGCCTTCCTTTTTGACTGACCACCCCAACTATTCTTCTATTCATTATCCACGACAGTCAACCAATTACCAATTATTAGTATATTATATTAGTACATTATATTTGTTATTTAAAAAAATGATTTTTTTTACTGAAGTCATTTTTTAGTCTATTTTCTTTCGTATAATAAATAAATTTAATTATAGATTATACATTTTTAATATTGAATATTTAATAGTTGACCGTTGTATTATAAAGGAAGGAGATGATCTGGGGTGGTGGTCATAAATAGGCTAAATAGTGGCAAAACTATTTTATTGAAAGCCGACGTTTCGACCCGACTTTGCAGATCTTCTTCAGGGCTAGAACAGACAAGATACAAAAAGATAGAGAATTGTGGCAGTTACATAATATTTAGACAAAATTTATAAACAATGTGAATAAGCTTATTAAAATTTAAAACAGTAAGTATATTAAAATATGAACAAAGTAAGCTAAGTAACAAGATCCTAAACTGAAGTAAATAGATGCTAACAATTGTTGGTAGTGTAATATATAATAACTGCAATTGTGAATATACTTCTACAGATCAACAGGAGAGATTGAAAGAAAAGGAAAAAGAATGTAATATGAAATAATAGACATAAAGGAATGTGGAGAAAGAAAAGAAAAAAGAAAACTAAAAATTAAATAAATAAGTAAATAAAATAGAAGAATAAAATAGGTCGGCTTTCAATAAAATAGTTTTACCACTATTTAGCCTATTTATGACCGCCACCCCGGATCATCTCCTTCCTTTTTACATTTTTAATATTTGTGTCTCCATACATATTGTTCAGAGAAATTTATTGTTAAATATAGAAATGCCAGGAAAAATTCAGGGAATTTTACTTTAACGAACACCCTTACTTAGGTCCCAGAGTTTGAGGTTCTAAGCGTTAAAAAAATTTGAAAAGATTCACAACTGGGTCGATTAATATTTATTTCTTGATGGTCCCGGGAAATGAATCTTGACATTCCTAATCTAGAGTCGATAATGTTAAGTTCACGATGATAAGTTTAAGTTCACACTTTAACATACTCGTATCGCATGTTAACCTCATGACAGTGCGATTTTGGTATTATGTGGCGGCAACCTCAAAGTAGCTGCCTGGGGTTGCCATAAAGGACTGCAAGGTCCACTAGATCCCCACCGGTACTAGTAATAGATTTAACAAAAATAAAAGGAATGTATATCATGTTATAATTTAATATGATTATTTAAATCTGTAATTATTATTTATTGAAAAATTAAAATTTGTTTTAGAGTGAACAGTGCTTGTGGCGGGATATCAAGGATGGCTGTACAATAACTTTGCCCATCCCAGATCCAAAACTTCAATCGAACAGACTTACTTTCCTCACGAGAGCTTTAACAGCAGCTATAGAACCACTTGCAGGCGTAATAAATTGCACATTAACTAATAATACTACTGTTATTAATTAACAACAAAGTTTTATCGATTAATTTAAAGTTATAAGAGTTAAGAATAGAAATCTGGTGCACACATCACACAACTTTCACTTACCGGCCTACTTTGAATAGAAATTATTTTCTAGCAAGGTTGGGCTATTATAAAATTTTGAAAGTGCATTTTTTAACTGAGCTAAAGTTTAAACCTTACAGCTAAGAACTCATTAATACTATTAAAATAATACAAACCATATTTACCATATTGAGGGTAGGTACCAATAAAAACCTCGTAGCTCCAATTTGTTCTTTTAAATCATATAACTCCAGTTTCTGAGCTATGTACACCGAGAGAGATTTGAAAATAAATTTGTATATTTAACCAATTAATGATTATGGATTGTACTACTATAAGTTATTAAACTCTTATTTTTCTATTATAAAGTTTACTAAAATGGAGTTACGAGATTTTCGGCTCTTTTATACACACCAGTGAATTTTTGAAGTGCTTTTGCCTTTGGATTAAAAAATATCAAAAACTAAAAATCGTACCTGCATACTGTAAGCAAGATAAATGTTCAGCATTTTATCCTCTTTGTAATGAGCTATTATTCAAAATTTTGTCTTAACACGACATCATGTTAGAGAGGCAAAAAGCGAAAAATAGTATCGAAAACCAACAGATAACAAGTTTTATTGAAGACATGGATTAAAAAAATATCAAAAACTAAACATTGTACCTGCATACTGTAAGCAAGATAAATTTTCAGCATTTCATCCTCTTTGTAATGAGCTATTATTCAAAATTTCATCTTAACACGATGCCATGTTGCCATGTTAGAGAGGCTAAAAGCGAAAAATAGTATCGAAAACCTACAGATAACAAGTTTTATTGAAGATATGGATTAAAATATCTCAGAAACTTAAAATCGGACCTGCATACTGTAAGAAAGGTAAATGTACATCATTTCATCCTCTTTGTAATGAGAATTTTATTCAAACTTGTATCTTAACGTGATGGCGGATCACAGAGGTGAAAAGAGAAAAAGATAGCCTCACTGGTGTGCTTAAAGTAGAAAATAGCCACATTTTCATTGCCTTCTATTGATATATAAAAAAATAAATAAAATAAAAGATCAAAAGTTGTCACACTAATTGCACATGGATAATGTTTTGGTTTCACAAAAGTGAAAATTCATCAAATTATTCACTAATTTAATTTTCTAAAATATACGTGATGAATTTTTGGAATAAAATTATGATAGGTATCTAATTATTTGTTATATGATATGAGATCTAGTTATTATAGAGGGTGTCTTGAAGGAATATATAAGCCCTTATACTTTCAACAATTTTTTATTTTACTTCCGACTCTGAAGTTTATCAATTGCCTCCAGCAGTTACCACGCTCTGATGAAGACCTGCAAGGTGGGTCCAAACGTCGGCATAATAATTAAAAATACTATTTTTTAATTTAGTATTTATTTGACCGCACTTCCCCATCCCCCCCCCCCCACCAACTCCTTCTCATATTATATCACGGTCAACCATCTCTACATTATTTCAAAAGTTATATAAAAGAGATAGTTAATTATTTAAAATAAACCAAATTCAAAGTACTTTTGAGAAAGAAATTTTGGGATCATTGGGCATTTAAGCCCTGTTAAGCGACATCAATGGGGACAAGACCTAAATTATATTCGACTATTTAATGGTAACAGGTCTTATTGCTAAAATTATGAAAAAAAAATTAATTTATAAAAATAATTTTCAACTTATATTATTTAATCTGCATTCATATTAAATTTTTAATGTTGTTACTAATTTTATTTTTACTTTTTATGCTTGAATCAAGGATGGAGATTTAACAGAAACCATTGCCTGGAGTCGTTTAATTTTTTCAATTGCAAGAGACTGGTCTATTCCTCTAGATACATTACGAATCCACGAAGTCTGCCAGTATTACCTTGTGAACAGAGATAGAAATGCTGAAGAGGTATTTATTTTCCATTTTTATGTATTTGGATATTTTTTTTTTCAATTTTTGTAAATTTAAATAAGAACGTAAATTTTGTTTATCTTGAAATTTATTTATATTTACATGGATCATCCGTAACAATGGTTAAGATATTTGTTAAGAATTGACGGAAGCCAAAAATTATTGCGTACCCATCTAGAGAAAAATTTCTATAGTGCTAAATTGTTCTTGAAAAAAAGTAAAAGATGACATAATCTTAAAGAAAACCTATGAATTAGGAAATTCTGAAGGAAAAAAAGAAACAAATTATGGTATCAAAAGAATAGAAAATTTAAAACAGAAATTATGTAATTAATTTTGATATTTTGTGATTTGGTTTGCTTGGTGAAATAATAAATTAAGAATTGCCAAGTTTGGAAAAATTTACTATTCCCGTACATATAACATGACATAATAACACGATAGATTGTAAATAACCTACCGTTTTGTCAGGGTCTTGGTTATTTAAACTCATGAATTTTAATTTTTAAAACAAAACCCCGGTAGTGGATATAAACTTTTTGTCGGTGTTTATTGTTGTTGTGATTGAATTGACTCACCCGGTTTGTTATTCTTCAATTGTTAGGCATGTAGGACAACTAAATGAAAGGAATATCCACTCCTGTATAACGAAATAATTTATTTCAACTGCTATAATAAATGAATCTATTAAAGTCTTTTAACTATATACTTGATCTTCTTAATCTGCAGTGGAGTAGGCTTCTCTTCTGCCCTCACGTACTTCCGTCATCGTATCCTTGCCTCAAGTGTCGTCTTTGTACCTTTTTCATCGATTTTTTTGTAGATTTGATACTTTTCACTCAACAATTTGTTCACTGCACAATTGAGTCCGATTCATAGTGCAATCCTACATTCCTATACACTCCTTCTCATTCCCTCACTCAATGTTACTTGAAGGAGTAACCATAGGCAATCTAGTATAACATATTAACATTGCTATGATATTATTTTATTTACAATAATTTGAAGCCAAATGCATATATAATATTTAAATATATACTGACCTACTTATCAAATTGATTATTAATGATTTTCCCAAAATACATCTAATGGGGAGTTGTTTATTAAGAGAATAAGCAAAATAAAATAATTGGTAATTCTACCGAAGTGTCAATGCTGCATTCTGGCAAGGGGACCAAGAGGAAATCAATCATACTGTAGATGGAATTCTGAAAGTAGCCTTATCGGAGTGGAGGAGAAAACGACTGATCCTGATTGATTGGTTTTCTTACTGATGATAAAAATTCTTTCTACTTGAGTTAGATCATTTCTGTCAAACTTCTGTTTGCTTGTGGGATAAGCAAACTTTCAAAGTTTTTTTTGTTTTTTTTTCAAAGTTTAAGGTCGGAGATGCGTTCTTTTGGGTATTTGATGATGGAAAGGATCCAACTCGACACTGACAAACAACTGGAAAAGGACCTGTTAAGTATTTTTGGACCCCTTGAGTGAGTGAAAGCACAACAGTCGTTATTTTATTAATGTAGAGTTATGATTTTAATAACCAATAATAATTCCAACTAGAAAATTAAATAATGTAATCTAACCTTAACTAAACATTATGCCTAAAGGATGACAAACTTTTCATAGGCATGGTTAAATTTAATTTTCTAATGTACCTTTATTTCTAAGGAAGGTCTGGATATTGATTGCCTTGATCTACTTTTTTTAACATACTCGGCTACTTTTGTCATTCCATATAGTGTGATCAGAATGATCTTAGTCTAGAGGTGTACTCTTCAGAAGAATTATCAAATAATTTAAGATGATTATCATCTTGGCTTAACGTTCTCAAATTTTATGATGTATTTAATTTTCGTTGTGTATATATGTAAGTGCACAGCCTTCATATTATTTTACTTATGGTTTTTATTTAGGTATTTCCCGCAGTCAATGACAAAGAAAAATTGGCCCACCACCTGTTGATTATTGTTGGACAAAGAATGAAAACCCATATTGCTAGTTCACATGAAGCTTTTGCAGAAAGATTGACTAACCTCGGTCCTTCTCTTACTGCATGGGTCCAAGATCAGGTATAAACTTTTTTCATATATTTATGTTATAGTATAGGTTTAGTATTTATTGTATAGATTTAGTATTAATATTTATTTTATATATCGTATAGATGATTCAAAATAATCACTGTAATCTTAGCAAGACGAATCACAGAATACGCCGAGAAAATTATCGGTGACTACCAATGCGGATTTAGATGGAATCGTTAGACTATTGATCAAATATTTTCTTTACGGCAAATATTGGAGAAAAAATTAGAGTACAACGTTGTTGTTTACCAGCTGTATATCAATGTCAATTAGGCTTACGATTCTATTGACTGCCAGAAACTGTATAATATTTTAATCAAGCAGGGGATCCCAAAAAAAAAATAGTTATTCTAGTCAGGATGTACTTGGCAGAAAGACTCAATAAAGTTAGGATGGGTAATAATTTATCTGAAATGTTAGATGTTCGTTCGAGTTTAAAACAGGATGATTCCCTTTCGCCTGTCCTGTTCAATTTGGCATTAGAACATGCCATTAGGGAGGTAATGCGAACCGTGAAAGGGTTGGATCTGGGCGGGACAACATCCGTGCTGGGCTATGCTGATGATCTGGTCCTGTTAAGCAAAGACACGGAAACTATAAAACTAAATAAGACAACCTTAATAAAAGCCAGTAAAGAACTATAGGGCTCAAAATAAACATACACAAGACAAAATATATGGTTAGCTGCAAAAATGGTAATATCGATATAGAAGGTAATATGTTTGAACAGGTAGAGAACTTTAAGTATCTAGGTTCTATGATAACTAGAAAAAACCAAATTGAAGAGGAAATTAAGGTTAGGCTGAAGCGGGAAATGCTTGTTATTTTTCTGTGACAAAACTGCTTAGCTCACGCATCTTGTCCCAGAATTTAAAGACTATAATCTATAAAACCATTATCCTACCTACAGTTCATTATGGATGTGAAACGTGGCTGCTTACATTAAGGGATGAGCAACATAGGTTTTTGAAAATAAAGTATTCTGTAGAATATTCGTACCGAAGAAAGATGAGTTAACCGGAGATTTCAGAAGGTTGCACAATGCCGATTTGCGTGAACTGTATTAAATTAATATAATTGACGTGATTACATCGCGGCGAATCAAATGGGCTTATAAAATTGTTGGGTTTAGTAACGAAAGAATTCCTAAAAGGTTGATATTTGCTGTACTGAATGGTAAACGTCCGAGGGGTATACCGAAGTGAAGGTAGGAAGATTGCGTTGAAGCCAATCTGAAGGGACTGGGTTTGGACGGCGAACAATGGAGGGAGGCGTATAATAAGCGATTGGTGGTGTCAGCATCGAACCTTCGGGTTCGCTAAGCCTTTTATTGTTATTATATAGTATAGATGTGTATATTGTATAGATTTAGTATTAGTATTTATTGTTTAAGGGAGTGGGTAGCTCGGTGATAGGACACTGAACTTCCAATACTCATGGTCTCAGGTTTGAATTCTGGCTCATAGGAGAAAAATTGTTTATTCTGTCTCCTTGGCTGTAGGGAGACCCTTCTGTGGCAGACCCAGTCTCTACAAAGTGGGTACCCTTAATTAAAATAATTATTTAAAGGAGAAAACCTGACGGTTGAGCATGATCCTGACCTGACCTCCTCCCTGCACAACCGTTGGCCTTATAGTGGTACAGATTTTTTTTTTTTTTAATTGTTGAGTATCGTATAGACCAGAGGTGGGGAACTTTTTTGTCATTAGATCAATAAGGTTAGGCAGTGCTAATGAAGGCTGCAATAATTCTTTATATTTTACTGTTGCTATCTTTATTTATCATTAAATACACACAAAACCAAGTTTTTTGCAAAAAGGTTTGGAGGCCACAGTTATGTCAGGGTATAGAGTATGTGAACTAGTTTTTAAGACACATTTTTTTATGTTATATTATTATTTTGCTCTGATATTTGTACTTCTCTAATTAGCATTTCATCAAAGAATTGAATTGCTTATTTCTTGATGAATCCTTTTGAATGGAGGAAGTAATCATGTTTCTATTTAAATTGATGTAAATATTCTATAGAATAGAATAAAATAGAATAGACAAATAATTTTATTCTGGGACGAAGTCCCTTCAGAATAACAAAAAAGTACAGAAATTAAAATTTTATTTCTGGCCAGATAAAAACAAACATAAAAAGTTAAGATAAAGATAAATCAGTAAAAAAAAAAAGAAAAAAAAATATTAGTTATACATACTATATACAAAATAAAAAAAAAAAATATATACAAAACTCTTGAAACCATACTAAGATACTTAAAACTATGTACAATGTTAAAATATAAATAAACCCTTTTAGAAAAAATAAATGTAAATTCTTCTTAACAGTAAAATCTGTGTTTCTGTTGAAAAAAAAAAAAGATAAAAGAAAGTCGAATCTATAATAAGTATTTAGGTTATGAGCTATATGTGAATATGTTATTATAAATAATATGTAATTTTACATAAAAGGTTAGCTGGTATCTGACTGTTTTTGGGACAGGAATTGGAATAGGAGGGTTTTGAATGTAGATAAGGATGAAGAATGTCGAATTTTGATAGGAAGGGAATTCCAGAAACTAACAGAACGAGCAATAAAGGAGTTTTGGAACGAGGCGGATCTGTGAGAAGAAATGTAAAGGTCGGAAGGTCGAGATCTTGTGGAGAGGGAGTGGACTGAGGACTTAAATTGGAGAAGGTTGTAGGCGTAGCAAGGACGATGATTGTTGATGATATGATAGAGGAATGTACCTAGGAAATATTGTCTTCGAAGGAAGGGGAAGAGCCACTCTAACTCAGTTTAGTGGTGAGAGACATGGTAGTATCTCGGGGCACCAATTACAAATCTCACGCAACTGTTCATTAATTATGTTGTATGTCATTCTTTTTTTTTAAGAATTTAAGTTTTTCTCACAAAGATTTTCTCATAACAACTCTTTTTTTTTTTTTTACTTTCTCTATATAGAACAAGAATGATTGTCTGTTAAAAATCATTTTTGAGATTTTGTTTGGTTTAAACTTTTTAATGTCCCCAGTATGACAATTTATCCATGCCCTCATCTCTGAATGAATGTATTGAAAACTAAATTGTATGATGGTAAAACCCAAAGGAGTTAAAACAAGAGGAAGACTGAAGGAAGATGATGGGTAAACGTAAAAGACAATCTAAGGAATGTATCAGGCCAAATATCCCTTCTTGTATTTGATGTGCTGTTAAGAAGATGTGTACTCTGAGTCCGAAACCAATCTTATGAAATTTATGATTTATTGTTTGTTTTTTTACTAGAATTGCTGATTTTTTTTTGTTGACTCCTCATTTGAATATTTTCAAACGAGTTCTTTGAATTATTAAAAAAAGTTTATTTATGCCAAGACTGAGAAAAGGTTGCAGAGAATCATTAATATATGAAAAACATATAATTTAATTTTTATATTCTCAGACTTTACACGAACAAATATCAATAGATTCAAATTTCTAGTCTTAATTTTTTTTTCATATTTTTAAAAAAATTGTATCCCTTTTTTTCTGTTGGCTTTACATAAAAAAAGGGCTTTCTAGTTATTTGCATGCAGCTCTACATCTTTGTTGATTCAATTTATCCATCTGTTTTTTGGCCTTCCACTTGGTTTTTTGTTCATGATTGAGGCAGTCATTGTTGTGTAGAGGCTTAATCTTCCTGATGGATTGCTCCGACCAAGTTGCCCTGTCGATCTTAACCTGTTTGCCTTCATATTATGTGATATTGAATGATGAATGAAGTTTCTAGAAGCAGTTCTTTATCAGCCCTTCTCATATATCCGTTAGTATTCTCGTCCCAGATCATTCCGGTCATCGTACAGAGGATCATCCTTTCGATACTTCTTTCTTTAGTGATTTCAGTACCTTTTACAGAGAGAAGAAAGCTCTCTTTGCGCTTGATAGACACTGGACTATTTCTGATCGTTGAGGTCATTCATTGAGGTTAGTGTTGCCCAAATGCGAGACCAAGACGAGTCTCGGTCTTGTGTACTTAGTCTTGGTCTCAGTCTTACGCAAGAGTCTTGTGTTACATATTAGCTTATTACTATTGAGATATTACTGTAATTTTTTAGATAGAAGAAACATAACTAAGCCCGAATGAAGAATTAGATAGAAGAGTTAAATGCTAAAGTATATTGGTTATATGAATGCTTTACATACAGTAACTAAATTTGTCAAGTATTATTAACTATTTTGCCTAAATATGTATTCAAAAAATTGATTTTTTTTTTTACCAGTCTTGGTCTTGATTTTGCAACAGTTAGGCAGCCTTGGTCTTGCAAAGTCCAAGAGCAAGACCGATTTTGGACAACACTAATTGGGGTTATTGTGGATTTGAGTTGAGGTATTTGAATTTGTCCAATTTCAGCCACAATTTTACAGAGATCCTGCTGTTTGGGTGGATTTTTCACCTCACTATCATATATTTTGTTTTTCCTTCATTTACCTTCAATCTGCTTCTCTTATGATAATAATGCTGGTGTTTCCATGAAGTTATAAGACTAAATTGTACTCCTAATTTAAATAATTACTTTTTAAATAATATTTTTTTAAATATTTTTGTTTTCAGGAAGCTTTAAAGGTACCATGTAACATCAAAGATACTGTCCAGTTGTCAAAATTAGTGGCAACACTCCTGCCAGAAACCTCGTCTAATAGTAAATTAGCATGCCACTTATTCAATGCTATATGCCCTTTGGGTAGGTAACCTTGTTGCTGCCCAATCCAATTACAGTATTGGAGTCTTGTAATTGCATTAGTGTGTATAATGTAGTGCGTTTGTATTAATGTTAGTCGAGAATAATGATTCTGTGGATAATTTAAAAGGTATCTGGAAGGATGAAATATGTAATTATATTAATCATCATGATACTCGTCAATGTTTATAAAGGAAAGCTATTCTTAGTGCCTAGAGAGTAATAAACTTTATTTATTAATATATTTTTATATTTATTCTCACCTGTTTATTATTATTATTGTTTGAGTTTTTGTATGTTGTGTCGTCTGGAGTGTTCATAGTTGTTTCATGTTGTTAATCATTTATAGAATATCATGTGACATCTTCTGTTCAGTTCTTGGTTTATTTATCCACTTGTACAATTGAATTTATATGAGTGGCCTCATATCAAAGACGGATATTATATTTATAAAAAGTTCAGAAACAGCACATTTTCTGTAACACATCTTCAATTTAAACCAATTCTAATGATTTTTTTTTTTTCATTTTTCAACTTGAACATTTTAAAATAAAATCATCAGGAACGGTTTGAATTGAGCCATAAAACAAAAATTGACTTCTTCTCCACTTTCTTAAAATGAAAGATGCCCATCTTTGATATGAAACTTAGTAGCTTTTAAAAAAAAAAATTCAATAATAAAAAAAAATACTTTCTTATCATTGATGTTTTGTAACAAAGGTAAATTTAGCGTGTTAGTTATTTTCTGAATTTCACTATGTAACAATCGCGTAAATAAGATAACTTTCTTAAATAAATTTTGAAATATGCTCTTTTGAAAAGTTGTGAATCGTTGAATTTGCCCTATTTACAGAACACTAACATGCAAGTAGTAAAAATAAAACATGTATGGAGTAAAAGATACCAAAATCATCAGCTAATTTCTTTAGAGCTGCAAAAAGAAAACTCAAATGATCATATGAGTGCTTCATATCAAGGAAGGATCTATCATTTTTAAAATGTCAAGAAACAAGCAATTTTTGTTACATAGCTTCTATTTAAACCAATTCTAATGATTTTTTTTCATGATTTTACTTGAACAACTTTTAAAACAATCATCAGAAACAGTTTGATTTTGACCAATAAAACAAAATTTGCCTTTTTCTCCACTTAATGAAAATGACATATGTCTTTCTTTGATATCAGGCAATTCATATGAAGGTTTAATTATATGCTTTTAAAATAATTTGTATACATAATTGTTGGTTTATCCAATATGTTGCTCATTATATTGTATGTTGATTATTTTTTTAGCTAGATATAATATAATTAAAATTATTCTATCATGATTTATGAATTAGTCTTTCAATATTTTTCATTGTTATTTATAGTATTTATAATTATTCCTTGAGTTTTTAAGAGTAATTACCTCAGACAGTTGGTAATGCGATAGTGGATTTTTCCATGAAATTTTATAATAAACTTTTTTAAAATTTTGGTACTTTTTTAATAAGATTTTTGAAGAAAGTACCTATTTTTTATTGTCATTAACAACTGTATATCAGTTTCGATTTAAGAAAATATATCAGTAAGTTTATTTTATCCAGTATTGAATAAAAAAAATCACTGTCTTGAAAGTATAATCAAAAGTTTTGAGGAATAATAACTTTGCTGACTTCTATTTATTCTATTCCATTTAGTATTTTTATATTTGTTTTTACTGTTCAAAAAAAAAAATATGTAGACTTGTCCAGCCATGAATTTGATTAATTTTTATTGTTTATCGTTTAACCATTCATCTGCACTCTTTTAAGCTGGAATTTTTTAATCTTGCATCTATATATTAATCAACTGGTTTTCTAATGCCATTTGGAATGGGAAATTAAGTTGATTTTATCTTGATTTAAAATTCTTCCAGGTGTATTTTATTCAAATTCTTTAGAACTATTTATATTCTTACTATCTTTATTACATTCTTCTCCAATCGTGTATAAATTCTTCAAATAATAAATTCAACCTGTCATTTTAAAACAACCTAACTTGGAGACTCCTTTTCATCTGAATCTTGCAAAGTGCTGTAGACCTAAAAGAAAGAAGAAAAGAATATTGAATAAGGGTTCTTCATTGATTTATATATATATTTTTTTTTGTATAACCTGAGTTTTAAATAAAGTAAATTAATAAAATAATTTACTTCTCTGCTAGGCATTCCAAAATTTCTAATTATAACTATTTTCTTTTATATTTGTTTTTAAACCTATCATTTTTAGATTTTTAAAAAAACATTTTTCCTCTACCTCTTATTTGCATTCATATTTATACTTTTACTGTAAATTAAAAGCCCTCTCCACTCCACTGTTATTTTTCCTACACTCTTCCTTAGCTTGGTCATATGTTGCTTTTTTAGATATGGCTTATTTTAGACTAAAGCAAATCCAAAGAATATATCTTGTCATGTAAAAACTATACAAAAGGGTTTAGATTTTATTCATTTAAAATAATTACAAAAAAAAAAAAGAAAAAAAAATAATTCTGCAGTATGGATAATGAAAATATCTTTTTGTGATCGTAGTGTCTTGAGGCTGAAACATTCTTAAAAAGTTAATAATTATGAATTTTTATCTTCACGCTAACAAATGTTCCTTCAACTTATTCTAAAACGTGCTCTTTCTAATATAAGTTGTAAAGTAATATTTATAACTGCATCTGAATTATTTTTCTTTATTATTATTTCATCAAACATTAAGAACATCACTTATACTTATACAAATGATGAATATTTGAAATTATATTCTAGTTTTTCAAGTGAAATTTTAGCATCTTATTTCATGGCTGTGTGATTTTCATTGTAGAGCTTTTTTTCTTTTGCTCTGTTTAGCTATTAATAACAGTATCATGATGGTTTAATTTCTGTCTTTATTTGCATCTAAATATTTAAAGTTACTGAGAAAATACTTAAGAGCTATATTGTTAACATAGTAAATTTATTTTTCAGAGGAATTGTATATATGATAATATATTGTATTAACGTAGGTTATGTGAAGTAACATAATATAATCTCATGTCAATATATCTTAGTTAGAAGTTATGAGTCAGTTCCAGTTATATTTATATTGGGAACAGTAAACCACTTAACAATTGCTCATTCCTTACTATCCAATGCTTAATTTGGTTATTGCCTATTTAAATTAAAGTTTTAATGTATTTGGAATTTGCTGTATTTCTCTATCATTTGAATGTATGTATTATGATTTTGTAAATATGTTATTGTACATATGTCGAATGATGTTTTATATTATAAGATATATTTTTTAATATTGAATTAATTATTGTAAAAATTAATACAATCTGTTAAATTGATTTTTGATTATCTTTCATTCCTGAACAAAAATCCTGATAGAGTGTGATTTCAGTAATCTGAAATAAATAAAAAAAAAATGTTTTCTAAGATCATTTACAAATACTTGTTTATTATTGTTATTTTCTAATAATCCTTCATCTTCTTCAAAAGTATAATTAATATCACTTCAAATAAATGCATTCTATTATATTACGTAATCATTATGAGTCAAAAGCTATCAGTTTAATGGGATGGTGACCAGTTTTCATAAAATCTTTTAGCTCAATATTCCAAACATATTTTGGAATTTTCGTTGAGATTACAATTTGGATTTTTTATTTTTTGTATATTTCATTTGGAGAATTTTTTTTATTTCTTATTAATGAGTGATAGAATGCCAGTGCTCACATATGGTTCAGAATATTGGACTACTATTAAAGCCCAAGAACAAGTACTCAGGTTTGAAAAGAAGGTGCTCAGTCGATATATATGGTGGAATATGTGAGAAAGGACGATTGCTGAATTAAATAAAGAATATATGGAAGTGGATGTATCCACGTTCATAAAAGCATCAAGACCTTGTGGGCTGGTCGAGTTGCAAGAATAGATCCGAACAAAATACCTTCCAGGATTCTATTGGAACAAATTTATAATAGCAGGCAGATTGGATGTTTGAGGCTTCGATGGGAAGACTGCGTGGCTGCTGATGCGAGATCTCTGCTTGAGGAAAGAAGATGGAATGCAGCAGCACAAACTAGAGAAAACTGGCAGTCTTTGAACGAGCAGGCTATGGCTCAACAGAGGTGTCAGTGCACCATCAATTTTTTTATTTTTTAAAATGCCAATGTTTCAGCTCAAGCTTATGGATCATCATCAAGACTGAATGTGTTCAAGTACTCAATTTCTAATCAATGTTTATTTTCATACATATGTACTTTTTTCTTTATCTATTATTGATATGTAATAATATGGTAAGTACTGTCCTCCCACCATCTACTTTTTTACTTAAATATCAATAATTCACTTTTTTAATATTAACTGAGTGAGCCATACAAGGCTCTGAATCAGGTTATGTCTGTATTAGCATCATGTTACACAGTATTAGCATATGCTTCTACCCACAAGGCTACTCCGCTTCCATTTTGTAATAAATAGATCATTAAATTTCAGGGGAAGGAGTTTTCATGAAGCAATAATTTGTAATGTTGGTGCATTTCATTAAATGATATTATGCTATAACTTGAACAAAATATTACTTACAAAAAATAAAAAAATTGTTAATGATCTTTTCTTATAGAAAATTTACCCTTTAACATTGCTATTATATTTTGTGTAATGGTCACAGTTTCTAAATTTTAGTAATTTCCCAATTTTTAGGATGAGGAAGGATAGGATGGTTTTAATATGTGTATCCATTACATTGTGTTAGTAAAACAATTTCTACTGTAAAACTACTCATTTTCAGTAATCTTTATTCACTCAGAGACCCACTCGAAGAGACATCTTCTAAATCTCACCTTTTTCCCAGGATATCTTGGTCTTATCATGGTTTACCACTAGACTAAGTTTTCTTGCTGCTTCCGTAAGAGAGAGGAATGCCTCTTCGACTGACTTTTTTGAACTTCCAATTATATCAATGTCATTGGGGTATGCCAGGATCTACACAGTTCTATTTTTTTTTTTTTTTAGGCTATACGGGATTCCCCCGGGCTGGGGGGTGAGGGCGGGGAATTATAAATCCTCTCCACCACTGGGACGCGAACTCGTACTTTTTAATCTTCTCAAATCTGTTTATCCATTTGACAGGCAACTCGCGGAGCTGTGCACACGCTTTAGCCCATTCGGCAACCCCGCCCCAAAAAATTGGTAGTGTTGACCGTGTTACACACGGCCTATGCCTGGGTTTGTATATTCCATCCTTGTCAAGGGGAATGCTAAACTTCTCTCCTTTTTTACTACGCACTACAGTTCTATTTATAATAGTTCCTGTCCTCTGAATCCCAGAATCTCTTATAGCCTTCTCAAGAGCCAGGTTAAACAGTATATTGCCCTGGCAGACTCCCCTTGTTGACGAAAAACTTTTGCAGCGATCACCATGCACTTGTACAACGCATTCAAGGTCTGTCATGGTCATCCTGATCAGTCTTATCAGGCCTGCGGAAACATTTAGCTGTCTCAGTGCTTCATAGAGACCCTT